AAATTTTTCATCTTTTTTTTAGCAGAAAGATAAGAGGTTAAAACCAGAAACAACGCAGAACTCTCCTGTTTTCAGTCCAGTGCCTAGTTGCTCAGCTACCTGGAGCATGTTTGATCCCATTTCATTAACTACCTGCAAAGACATTGTTGAACATCAAAAAACCTACTTCTTGTCCTAATGATACTATTCCGTCATACTTTTTTTAAGCAAATTATCGATATCATAGGGCCTGATATCCTATTTTTTTATCAACCTTTGTTTGAGCACTGGTATGCTACCAGATTGCTTAAAACATGCCACAGTCACTCCCCTATTGAAAAAACCTAATCTCGATACATCTGATTTAAGTAACTTCAGACCTATTTCTGATCTTCCATTTATTTTGAAAATCATGGAAAAAGGTCGTTCTTAATCAATTACATTCCTACATGAGTACAAATTCATTATGATACTTTCCAGTCAGGATTTAGGAAACTGTACCGAATCCGCTTTACTGAAAGTCACTAATGATATTATGCTGGCTACAGATACCCGGAGTGCTGTTGCTATGGTCCTCTTAGATCTGAGCTCTGCTTTCGATATGGTCGATCACTCAACCCTCATTATTAGACTGAAGAATTTAGGCATTCATGGCACTGTTTCTTTTTTTATCTAATAGAACATTATCTGTATGTATTGGAAATTGCACTGCCTCAGCAGCACATCTTTCCTGCAGTGTACCTCAGGGATCCATTCTAGCTCAGATATTATTCTCTCTTTATCTGTTACCACTGGGTTCTATTTTCTCTAAACACGGCGTGTCATTTCATTTATATGCCGATAGGAAAGACACTGATACATTGAATGGAGCAGCAAGTAACTGCACACCCACACCAACTAACATGCACATGCACTGTAATTAATTTGCATTAAAGTGTGCAGAGGACAGGGTCTCTATTTACTTCATCTTTGTATGATTATTTTGTCCTATTCAGCACTTTGGTCAACCATGGGTTGTTTTTAAATGTGCTCTACAAATAAATAATGAATGAATAATAATGAATGAATTTTAGCCATTATTTGGAGTTTGTAATTTAGAGCAGTCTGTTTTCATTTAATATATTTTTGGAGAAAATTCAAGCTGTTTGAGTCTGAGCGGTGGCATGGGGCATGGCAGCTAGCACACAAGTTCTTCTGACATGGTTGTGGTACTTATGCAGATGACATGAGTTTAAATATGCTTCGTAACAATTCCCAATCTAATTTCACCCGCTCGTCCTATTGATTCTTGCCCTTTATCTCGAACATCCATTAAAATAAGAAGTGGCCCCTTACTTGCAGGCTTTGTTTATAAAATAGCCTCTTACACATTCAAATAAAACTTGTCGTTTAATTTGTGCATGGAGATAATTACATGAATCCCGACTAGAGGCAACTTCAGCACAACTCTAGAAACATTCTTGCAATCCAGTCAGTTATAGAGACCCTGTCCTCTGCACACTTAATTACAATGCATGTTAGTTGGTGTGTGGGTGTGCAGTTACTTGCTGCTCCATTCAATGTATCAGTGTCTTTCCCTAGGGACAGCTTACATCCATGTCATTAAAAAATAATTACTCAAACAAATGTCCTCATCTGAACTGGCTAATTACTCATATTGCATTTACAATTCTAAACTCAAGGACTGTTTTAATGGGTTTCAAACTCTGCACATACGAAAACCATGATGTATCCGATTGTCTCCATACCAATGAAAATAATGGGCCTAGTTTATGAAACAAAAGTACGACAGAAAACTGTGTGTATGGTCGTTTCAATGCAAACCTTGGCATTATCAATATGAAGGCTACTTGAGCGATGGCTACGATCAAATCACACGCCGGGTCTCAGCTCGTGTACGCTAGTTTTTGAGTTAGTCTGAACTTGCATGCAGCATAATAAATCTGGTGGAGAATTGTAATGAGAGCATTTTGTTTATTTCGATTAGACTGAGCCTGAAGCTCATTAATCGATCATTAACTATTATATGACTGATTAGAATGTCAAATTTAAATTAAATGAAATTAGAGTAGCCTACATGGGTGTCTGTGACCCATTACAAATACAAAAAAAAAAAAAAATGTTTTTTTTTTCTCTCTCAGGGGTTTAGCTTTAGGCTACACGTCTAGATATACATATATATATTATATATCTTTATTTTATTAAATCCACCTGACTGCAAAGGTGCCTCACACACAAACAGTTATGTGACAACTAAAGAAAACTAGGTGAGGACTCAATTGCAAAATAATTGTGATATATTTCATAAAAGAAACTAAATAAAACAAGAACCCACAAGGGGGAAATAACATAATATGAAACAAAACAACTTTAGTCATGGGAAACCAGGAGACATTTACAAGACAACGGTCCAAAACAGATTGCAAACATCAAGGAACTTATAAAAGGGACAAATCAGGCATGTAATGAGGGATCAACAGGTGTGGCAAATGAAACCAATAATGAGATAACAAGGAAGGTGGGATCGAGACAGGAACACAAAACACCACTTGTGCTACACGATACAGGACAAGCATGTGACACAAACACACACAACGTATCACTTCTAATATTGCTAACTTGACATTTCAGCCATTCATTATCAAAATAAAAACCCCAAACAAATGACAGTTCTCAATTTAAATGGTCATGAGATTACTTCCTCTTCTTGACCAGTTACTTTCTCCGTTTCATAAACTTTAAAGCCAAGGCTTTAAACTCTGGATTTTAGCGGCATGATGACATTTATATGATGGTTGTTTTCAGCCAGATCATTCGCACGATGGGATTGGCAAGCCCGTTCACATCCCAAAGCGCCATATAGGACGCTTTTGCAAAAGCGTAAATATCCAACGCACATGGCACCCTTTAACGTGAAATGAGACGCAGATATATTTGGGCAGAAGGCGCCCCCTAGTGGTCTAACCCTTACCCAACACCATACCTAAACTTAACCATTAACCGAAGCGTCTCATTAGACGTTAAAGGGTGCCATGTGCGTTGGATATTTACGCTTTTGCAAAAGCGTCCTATATGGCGCTTTGGGATGAGAACGCGTTGGATTGGCAGCATAAAAATGTTTCATAAATCACACATGAACCCTTTTCTAAGATGATTTCTGCACTCGAAACTGCGCTCGTTCTACGATAAATTGATTGAAGGGGGGGTTGACTGCTTTTTTTCTTTGCATGATTGTGTTTATGGGGTGCAATATAACATGTATTCGTGTTTTTTCTTTTTTTAAAAGTCTTATTTTTCATAAACTTCACCTTTATTGTCAGCCGCGCTCTCCTCTGTCCCCTGAACGAGCGGTTGACTTCCTGATTCTATGAAACCGCTCCCTCAGAAACACGTAGTGGGCTCAGATTGGTTAGTTTGGGCCGGTGTGTTGTGATTGGCTAAACTGTCGTTCACATTGACCGGAAGGTTAACGCCCATTACCTTTACGGGTGAAACGTGAGCTCCGGTCCAGATGTAAATATGTGTCGAACTGCAGTATCAGTTTGAGGCAGAATCAGACCAAGAAAGCGGCGATGAAGAGAGTCAAACAGAACCTCACTACACACGGCTCTTACTAAACATTTCTGAATGATAATTTGCTACATTTTTTAACTTTATGCACGTTTGTTTTACACAATAGCATCTGACTGGCAAAAATAGCAACTGACTGGCTACTAATTTTAAACACAAACAGCGTTGGCAAGTTTACGTTCTTGATCAAATCGAAAATAACGTCATAAAGTATATATACATGAACTTACTTATACAAAATTCAGGTCCATAATGTTTGAACGCATTTTTCGTAGACACAATAGCATTACTAGTAGCCTATAGTGGCTATAAAGCCAGCGCTGGCATTTGAAAAAAATAAAACACAAGGCTACGTCTGGAATTATACATGAAAATACATTTAAAATGATTAAGTCTTAGCCTACTTACAGGTTGTGGCCCAACAACTGCTGCCTCTGGTTTTAAAGTTGAAACTGCTTCATGTTTTAGTAATAGTTTCTTGTTAAATCCGGTGTTGAATTCGTGAAGATTCTGGAAGCTGTCTTCCATAAAATGCGCAGCACAGAGAGCTAGATTACGATCGTTATTTTCAGGAACATAATCAAACATAAATTGTATCCATTGTTGACGAAGTACAGCGTCTGTGGGAAGTTCGAATACAGAAGACCTGACAGGTGGATGAACAACTCACTCGACGAGCTGGAGCTGCTGAAATATGCAGCCCGATCTCATGAAAGTTCGTGTCTATGGCACGAATGTCATTTCTCGTGGCATTTATACGCCAAAAACAGTTTTTGCGTGTATTTGGCACGCGATTTTTGCGTACATATGATACGCACTTTTTTGCGTATAATACGCACGAACTCCCCACCTCCCTCCCCCCTAAACCTAACCCAGGGTTTTTTAGTGCGTACCATATAAACGAAAAAAACACTTTTGGCGTATAAATGCCACGAGAAATGACACTCGTGGTATAGATACGCATCTTCATGAGACTGTGTTGAAATATGCCCATGTTCTTTTCTGCTTATTCCGGAGGGAGGGTCGATGCAAATGTGTGGGTTAGTGACGTACCATAACCCAGCTGTAGTCCCAATCGAGTCGTTTTTGTAGGCAATTATACTTCCTGATTTTAAAAAGACGATATCTCTGCTTACACTGAACTTTCAGCGCTGCAACTTTGCAGATACTGTTCATGCACCAACAGCAACATTACACACTTTTTAAAATGAAAAAAGTGAAATCGCAGTCAACCCCCCCCCCCCCCCCCTTTAATGTGGCCTAATGACTCCACCAGAGAAACAGTGACAAGTGACCTTGTAATGAAACATCATTAAAGACATCATATTTACTAGACAAATTCACTGAACAAAAACGTTCATTTTGTCAGCCCCTAACTGAGGTATGCTTTCTGTGCCTTTTTTGGAGTGTTGTGTTGCTTGCTTTTATTAATATAATAATCTCTATCTAAGGCTACAGAGATCTCTGAGAAGTCATGCGGAAATGACTCTCCATTCCCCAAACATCCAGGCATTGAGCAGTGCTGCACACTTCAGGGTCATGAGAGGAAACTGTGTCTGGCTTCACTACGGTATTCTGCAGATGAGCTGCCATCACTAATTGAGCCCACAAATGAGGAGATCTGCTCTGAGTACACTCAATACAAGAGTAACTATTCTGTCAGGTGAGATTTGTCCCACAGGAGTACCTATGAAGGCCACAGTGATTTGGGTTTCATCAGTGGAAATAAAAACAGAAGGGATCAATGCAACATGCTTAACAACTGGTCACTATCATCTTTCATCTGTCATTCTCTTTAGCACTACTACGCAAATCAACAAGTCCTCAGAAATCCTTGAAATGCATTGTCAAACTTGGAGCCCTTTGAAATAATCTTAGTTGAAAGTTACTAATTATTCTGACTAAGAACAACTTAACACTGACTTGAAACAGTAGCCTACCATATGTCAGAATATATGCCCCAATTAATCTTCTGAATCGTATTATATCATTAAATTAATCATTTCCTTCTGAATACATTAATTCGTAAGAAGTATCCCAATTATATTACCTTAGACAAAATCATTGACTATTAAGTCTCTCTGAATAGCCATGTCTCTCTCTATTTTTTTCCAAACTATTGTCCCAGGTATAGCTTGATTAGAGAAGGAAACTCATTTCCCTATCAGTCAGTCACGTTTCAACGTTACGTCGAAAGACTGTTTTTCGATTGTTTTCGACAATTGTTGTGGCATCTCACTTGGGTATGATCAAAAGCAAGCACGGGTGATGTTGCGTCTTTTTAAAGATGGTATTCCACCTGTGTATTTTTTTGGTTGCGGTCATTCCTGGCCCCGTAAGATAGCACTATCACTAGATAGCACTGCCTCGCGTGTCTGGGCCGTAACGTTGAACATGACTGTCTCATTGAAAACTTTTCGGTTACTGTACTGTTGTAACCCTTGTTCCCTGAAGGAGGGAACAGAGGTGTTATATGCCCCGTCTGCCACAACCATTTCCATGTCAGTCTAATAAATTATGACAACACAGTTGGTCTTGACACGAAGGATGCATGCAGCCTTTGAATTGGGACTCAGCAAATATTACCTGATTTGTAGAACATGCTTTGGCAAATGTAGTTCCCCTTTTTTTACTCAGGAAAGATAAATGGGCATAATAGACAGGTGGAAGTGATAATTGCTTGTTGGGCTGGTTTGCCCCAGGGGAGGCCTCTTGGTCAGAACTTCTATTTAAAGGGATACTCTTGCTGTTGCCAAACAACTGTTGGTTCCAAATCGTTCTTCAAAATATCCTCCTTTGTGTTCAGCAGAAGACAGAAACTCATACAGGACAAGTGTGTTTGAAGTTGGGCAGAGACCTAGCCTGGCTGCGCCCTCCTACGCACTTCCGCTCAATTTCATTTTACTTCAGTACTACGTCTGGGATCGCTCCATATCCTTAGGTTTCCAGAAACCATTTTTTTGTAGGACCAATCAGCGAATAGAGGGAGTGGCTGAGAAAGATGACGTTGATGCAAGCGCGTCAGTTTCAATTCAGTAATGGCAGCGGAGAAAGACGTGAGAAAAGCTATTCGGTCCGTTGTTGGAAAAGAAACTGCCGAATATACAGAATTTAAAGCCGGATTGTTATCGTCTAACCTCTTGTTGCACAACTGAGGACCAAGTGAAGGAGGCAGAAAGTTTGGAAGTTTGTGCTGGGCAGTTCGTGCACGATGACCGTGACATTTTGGACGGACGGTTTAGCCTGGTGTTCACGGTGTTCGGAAGCCCCGAGTCCTGGCTGCTAAACTATTGTTGAAGATCCGCACAGGAGTCATGTCAGTCGCTCATATTCCAAACTGTAAATTTACTGATTCTTGTGATGAATAGAACATTTTGAGCCCCTTTGTGCACTCGTGCAGGAGGTTGGTGTGTCAGTTTTACATGTTGTAAATCATACAAATTGGTTGTGATTTAAAAAAAAAATAATTGTCATAAATAAAAATGTGAAAAACCATACTTTGAAGATATTTGATTTTCAGTTTTAGATGGCAATGGTTGATTTGTTTTACTAAAAAAAATAAATGCCACATAAAAATGTACAAACACATACTTTGAAGACCATAATTAAGGTAATTAAGAAACAATAAGACGTAATATGAAAAATTGTTGTTTATTACACATCTGCAGATAGAGACAGACTGATCATTCACTGTAGCTGCTACAGCGTTTGCGGCAGATCAGAAACGACCACAGCGGCGTATTTGTAATGATTAGACACAGCTTCCACTATTGAACGAATATATCACTGTCCTTCGTGTCAAATATACATTTCGAATTAATAATTGTTCCTAGATTAACAAAACCTGCGGCGCTCGTTGACTGAAATCCTATTGTAAACATAATCCTCTTCGGCGCGTGACATACGTCACTCACGACACCCCGTTAGCGATTGGCTATGGCAGATCGTGAGTGACTTTGGGCAGATCCAATAGATTTGAACTTTAATAGTGAACCCGCCTACAAGGAAGGAAACGTTTTTCAATGGAGCGGTTCCAGACTCTATGTGGAAATGAAATGAACTAGAGTCTGGTTGAACCAGACTAGCAGAGACCACCTTCTCAAGCAGTTTCGATAGAAATGGTAGATTTGAGATTGGTCTGAAATTGGCCATGTTGGTGGGGTCAAGGCCGGGTTTCTTTAGGACAGGAGTGACAGCAGCAGTTTTTAATTCCAGAGGAACAGAACCAGTACTTAGTAGTTGGGAGATGAGGAGTGAAATCGGCAGAGAAATAACAGATGCACATTTTTTTTTTAAGTAAAGTATAATTATCTCTTATAACTTATCTCTTTTATAATTTTAACAAGGAAAAAAAATCGATCTTTCCTATCTTTTCCTATTTTTTCATCTAAATCACTTACACAATGTCATGTCATTACATTTGCTTTGCTGAAAAAAGAAACAGACCACTGCAACCCTTTTAGTCCATACAATTCTGGCTTTATTTCTTACCCCTCTTCATCAAAAATCTACATATAATGAAGCTGAAATGGTGTAGTCACATGAATCGTTCTGTTCTAAAAGCCTTGGGAGCATGATGACAAAACATTTTCATAAAAGGATAATTTGGTGACAGCACACCCCCATCCATGAGTAAACATGAGGATTATGCTCTGCTTTGATGGGATTAAATCAAAGAAACACTTTTAGTGATTTATGATTAGAAGTTACTGATAGAGAGCCTAATATCCTGTTCTCTATGATTCACAACTTGAAGGGCTTTGATTTACCATGTTGACGTCAAAGTCATTATTTTCTCTCCCTCAGGTATGTGTATGAGTTTGCCCGGAGGCACAGAAACATCCCAGCAGGCTTTGTTCTTAATGCTACTCAGCACCATGTGAGAATGGTAGAGAGATGTTGTCACCCTGCTGTCAAGATCTCTTGTTTTCTCGAAGAGGTAATATGAACCCACAAATTTCTAATTACATTGGGGCGGCAGTGGCTCAGTGTTTCATGTAGGTTGTCTACAAACCGGTGGTTGGTGGTTCAATCCCCGGTTCCACCTGACCAAGTGTCGAGGTGTCCATGAGCAAGGCACCTAACCCCAGCTGCTCCCCACAAGCTCGATGGCGCCTTGCATGGCTGACACCACCGCAAGTGTATGAATGAGTCAGTGAAGGGGTGAAAGTGAGGCAAAATGTAAAGCACTTTGGTGGCCATTGGGTCTGTGAAAGCGCTATATAAATGCAGTACATTCACCATTTACATTCATTGGAAACCTTGGGGTGGCATAACCCCTGTGAGAGGTGTCATCTAATGCTGATTATGGCCTACTAAAGCAAATCAGTTATAGTTAATCATCTTGTCATTTGCATGTACACGCACTCTGCATATCATTCTAACAATAATAGTTGTTATTCAGCTTCGACATCTTGTAGGACTATATTATTATTAGACGCCACGACTGAAGTAACTGACACTGAAATGACAGGGAACAGTAGTCAAGGGTTACCAAAAAAAGCGAATTATAGATAGTTGGCTGCGTTGTCCAGAAATGAATAAGACATGAAAAATGTAATGTCTGGTTCTGATTGGTTTGTGATTAACTTTCACTGTTACTAAAAAAAATATAAATGGGTAAAGTTTTATTTATTTAAAAATTGTCCATTGCCAGATTTAATCTTGTGACCTCTCAAATTTAAACTTACTAAAACTTGTGTACCTCTCAAGAAATACACCTCTAAATAAATAAAAAAACAAGTTTAGAGAGCTAAAATACATTGATCATACTTTACAATAAGGCTCATTATTTAACATCTGTTATGTATTAACTAACATGTACCAACCATGAGCAATACATTTACTGTATTTATTCATTTTTGTTAATGTTAGTTAATAATAATCCAGCTGTTCATTCTTTGTTCATGTTAGTTCACATACAAATGTTTGCGAATCCTTTTCGGTTCATATGTCCAAAATATCTGGACAGTAATAATAACGGTAAAATAACTGTACAAATAATATATTCACGTTTCTAAAGCTATGCATGCCGAATACATGTTGTTAAGACATACATTTTATATGTTTCAACATATACCTAAACAGAATAGAATCATTTTGCTGGTCCTCAACTTGGACCAGCACCAGCATGGAGACCAATTATTTTGTATTGTTATTGTTTTCTGCAGGGATGCATTCATTAACTCATAATTAGAAGCTGATGAAAAATTGTGAAAAAGAATTTACTTCCAACAATAGAGACAACAATAGGCTCTCAATTTTCTACATAGTTGGAAATATAATTTATATATTTATTATTTTTTATATTGTCCAGTTCCAAGTCAAAATGGGCCAAGTCAAGGTAGGAGGAGATAAGATACCACACTTGCTGTACTTCCCACAGAAGCATAATTGCTCCCTCTTTGTTGCTATTGTTATATGTATTGTCTGAAGACAATCAAACATACAGGTGAAACTTGAACAATCGGATGCAGTGCAAAAGTTAATTTATTTCAGTAATTCAACTTAAAAGGTGAAATGCAAAGTGAGATATTTCAAGCCTTTATTTGTTATCATTTTGATGATTATGACTTACAGCAATGAAAACCTTTTTACAATATCAAAATTTTCATAAACTGTATGCCATAATCATCCAAATGATAACAAATAAAGGCTTGAAAATAGGATTCCAAGTCCGTAAATAGGATTCCACTGTCAAAACAAAACCTGCGCCAGCAGACTCGCATCTGTTGTTCATGGAGCTAAAATCTGCTCTCTGCGGCCCACACTATAAACAGCTAAACAGCAATTAAATGTCTATTTTACTTGCTGTGTAGGATGAAACTGCTATTTGTCTAGTTTTGGCTAGCAATTTGCCTAGGGGGAGCAGAAAATGAAATGGAATAAAATGATTTTGAGGATAAGAATGGTTAATATGATTATATCATTCAGTTCAGATCAGAAGGCCGAAACCCCAATAATGATCAAAATTATGATCATAATGATGATGATACTCATTATGATGGTGGTGGTTGATGTGGAATTATTAGTAAAATACTTAATATAAATCCTGTCTGTTTACAGAGACTCCAAATGGGAAGCTCCAACATTTTTCTGAGGTTTCTATCCAATGTTTGCAACAACCAAGTGAATTTGAAAGCCTACAAATTTGGGTAAAAAACAAAACAAAACATGGCTTGCACCACATCATGACACCATTAGAGGAAAATTTCAACAAAAAAGACAATTATGTTGTTTATGCATCCTCTTCAGACTAGTTTTAAACTCTTGCCAGCTCACATGTTGCATTTTTCAGTCAAACCGTTGTTGTCTATCAGTCATACACTGGAGGCTGAGGGGGTCCACCAAAAAGCATGCACAGAGAAATCAAAATTAAACATGATTTAATGATTCGTAAATGTAAGAACACATTGATGGCCTAAGACACGAAACGAGTGTTTTTTTGTGAGAAAAGGAACAGTATTTATATCGTTTTTACCTCGTGTAATCACAGTGACATCCAAGTGATCTGAATCAGTTGTGCAATGTCCAACAGAACCGAACTGAATTAGTTCAAAGTTACGCCGGAAGTGATCGCTTGCGTGTGACGTCACTCAATATTTACACGGAGATTTTGGAAGTTTTACCTTTTACTAAACATATTTAGATATACCGAAATCGTCTTCCATTGCGGTTTCCCGTATATCTAAGCCCGCAGACCGAAGCGCGCGTGCCGTCAGATCATTTTGTCATGGCTATGATTACAAGAGGTAAAAACGATATAAATACTGTTCGTTTTCTCACAAAAAACGCTCGTTTCATGTCTTAGGCCATCAGCGTGTACTTACATTTACGAGTCATTAAATCATGTTTAATTTTGACTTTGACTTTGACTTTGGCTTTTTGGTGGACCCCCTTAGGCTCCAGTGTATGACTGATAGACAACAACGGTTTGACTAAAAAATGTCAATTTAAATCTTGGATGCCCTTGAGGTAAGCTAAAACACATAAAAAATTAATTTCAAAGTGAACTATCCCTTTAACCTTAACTGTCACTGAATGTAAAAGAGTTTATATTTTTATTATTAATTTGTTTTCTTTCTTTTAATATGTATATATATATATATATACTGTATATAAGTCCTATTGTTATGGAAGAAACAACAAAATATTGGTTTGGAATGACATGAGAGAACGTACTCGGTTACTCTTGAGTTGCTTACGCTACGGCTAAAGTAATTTTTTCTCGAGATCTGAAGCCAAAAATATCCTTAATTTTCTATTTATTGTCAACGCAGTGCGGCGGACACAGACCATAGGAGCTTCCTAAGCTTGCTGGTTGCTTGCTTCGATGGCAGCTGCTTCGCAAGATCCAGCAATGCGAAGAGGCCCTCATTGGGCTTGACATCACACAGAGCTTACCGATAAGCTGCAGCAGTTGCTTTAGGACAGCCAATAATTATAATAATAATAATAATAATATAAAAAAATATATAAATAAATAACAATAATCATATAAAAAATAAAAATATAATAATTATACAGCCTGCTATGGTCTGCTGTCCGCAGCACTGCGTTGACAATAAATACAAAGGATAATTATTGGGCTTCAGATCTCAAGAAAAGATTACTTTACCCATAGCGTAAGCAACTTGAACAATATGAGAGAACTAAACTTCTTTCTAAACTTAGTTATTTCTCCTCTCTACTTTTTTTTTTTTTATTTTAAGATGTGTGTTCTTTACTGTTTAGTTGCCTACACACTCTACTTTTTACATAACCACGGGCTTACATTGCTTTACATATTTGTAGGTTGTCTGTATACTATGGAAATCTAGGAGTGTCCTTTGAAGATGCATCAGCCATATCCAGTCGTTTCCAGTCTGGGCTTGAAAAATGCTGTTTACAGCCCCAACCTGAATGTATAATTGAAGAAGTGAGTAGAACAGCCAGGCCGCTCCGATTCCACTTGATGTTGTGTTCAACAAACCACAATGAGGAGCTGGAGCACAAAGGTTCAAATCTCTTTTAGGACAATTATTTTGAACAGATTTCCTTCTGGCAGTGCATTTTTCCTCTTCCGCTTCATAAGACATTTGATGATATGACAAAAAAGAATATTTTTTTGGGGTAACTGATGAAAAACATGTCAACTACTAGAAGACACAATATGCACTATTTCCTAATAAGGGATTTTCTGAATCTGAGTTTATTTTAATGACCATACTTGGTGGTTATTATACAAACTGCATGGAGTCCCTTGAGTTAAATCAATTGAAAAAAAAAAAAAAACAGCCTTTCTCTCTATACTTCGCAACAATACCTGCTGTGGCAAAAATGTTGTTTATTAAATCTGCTGCCTCTCTTCCATTCAACTTTATCACTATTATGTGTCATCTAATTTTAGACTAAATAATATATATGTGCAACTGTTCTAATCAAAATACCAGGACAGAGAAATGATCAGAAAAGATTATACTTTCTATTTAAGAGAAAGTGTACATGACAGATCTCTCTGATATCATTTATTTTGTCATGAAATTTAGCAGGAGAGCCTGATTTGTTGTATTTTTCCCCTTCATAATTATAGTTAACAAGCTTTCAGAAAGTTCTCTGCAGTGAATCCAAACTCAATGCCATGTCTGAGGATTTCCGGAAGTGCTGCAGGAAACCTGCCCTGGATACACTTCCTTGCTTGGATGACTTGGAAAGACAATCCCGTCAGCAGTCAAATATAACTGATCCTGTTTCATCCGAGCTCTGCGGCGAAGTTCAACCAAATGGGATTGACAGGTGTTCATTTAATATTCATCAAATATTCGGTGGTAGGGAAACCATGCATGTCTTAAAGGAAAGGTCATCCAGAAAATATATTTCAGCTGTTAGCTAGCTTATTTCATGTGCCAAAGTCTGAAGCTATTTTGTTGAAGTAAGAATGGCATCACTCACTACACTATGTTTTGATCTGTCTTGCCAAATGTGATGTAAATGCTAATGCAATATTGAGTGATATAATGGGTATATTTTGCTTTCACTTTGGCACAGGTCTCCTTTTCCCCAAACAAAATAGATATTTAGGTAGTCTATTAAAGGGCAAAAGTGCAACTAGTCATGAATTATTCATACTGTGACTCTGAATATGATCAAAACAATTCCCTTCAGACTTTTGCTTAAAGTCACCATGAAATCAAAATGAACAATTCTGTTCTTTTTATGGAATATTTCAATTATTTATTTTAAATGCTTTGCCTCATTATTTTTAAATGCATGTGCCCACTTGTGTGCATATCCCCTCTAGCCAACCTCACCCATCCAACAATCCAATCAATTATTTCTTCCCAACATTCTTTCTTGTTCGAGAATTCATTTGGATATGTCACAATAGGGGGGAAAGGACTATCGCATCAGATACTAAAGCTCAGAATGCCTCTTGTGATCAATTTAGAGATCAAACCAAAGATCTATTTGGGCTAAAATTCAGGCCTGAACTGTGCATGAAAAGTTTCACTGGTTCCCCTTCTTATCTAAAATTAAGTTATCCCGTGATCATAATGAAGGTAAAACAGGTTTTGTACCAGTAGATTTCTGGCCACAGCTGGATATAATTTTTTCCTTTGAACATGAACAAGAATGTTATAGATTACCGGAGTTGAGAGGATGGACTCATTCCTAATAGGCCTATATTCTTCAGTTATTTTACCTTTATTATTACTGTCCAGATATTTTTGACATATGAACCAAAAAGGATTCACAAAGATCAGATTAAATAAGTACATAATGCAGAACAGACCCATTTTTCTTCTGCGTAACACTTCAGACATTTTTTTTTTTCCTTTGCAGACTAACATTCATTGTCATGCAAAGTATGCTTGCCTGGAGCACCAAAAATTAGAACAGGGTGCCCTCAAACAAAGATTTTGACCTTTTTTTCTCTCGCATCATGGTCTGCTTCATTTGTTGGAGCATGTTATGGCTGTGCTCTGATCATCACCTTATGCCTTTTTAATTTAGTGAAAATGTAGCCGTTATGCACTGCATGCTGTGATGAGTGAAGCTTGTGAAGTCACTTGTGTGCCTGCATGGGTGGACAAGAAAGAATGAACTCTTGCTGAGGGGCAGACAGCCGTGCACAGAATCCTATGTTTAATTTATCTTGGACTGTAATTAGAGGAGCCACTCACTGTTGGTTTTGAATGTGTGCTTGCAAGTTCTACTGAGTTTACCTCGCAGCCTGATGTCATTAAAGGTGACATTTTCAGGGTGCTTCGGGGGGCTAATACTATGTCATTTATTGTGGCTTCTGAGTGTATGAGCAAGTGAAATTAATGTGAGATGGGGTGTTCTGAAGTATGTGAGTTGTCATTAATATTTCTTTAAAACTAATAACAATTTAAAGCATAATAGTCTCTCCTTCTTCACTCATACACTGTCCAGCTGTACCCTCTAGTGGTGTTCTTCATTTTTATATGACCAGAAAAATCAGCCTTTAAATGTATAAATACATTTTTGAGCTCCACAATGTGTAAAAATGGACTCATGCCACCAAAAATTCAGTTTGTATAAAGCACAAAAACACAAACTGTGTTGTAAACCTTTCAGTATCCATAATCCCAACCAACCACCAGAGTATTATAATTTATTTGTGCTTTGCTAAACATACAAAACTAAAAATACAATAAAGTGTTTTATATGGTAGTAGAGCGGATTCTTGCAAAGATATTTTAGCTACTGATTTTTGCATTATTAGTAAACTGTCGACTTATTATCCACTAACACCTTATTTTGATGGTCCCCCAACAGATATTTTACTGACAGTATAAGTTACCTTCATAAGTTACCCAACCCTACTAGTCTACTGATACTCTAATGAGATTAGTTGATATGTACTTGCAAATGAATCAGATTAGTTGACATAAAGTTGCAAAGTTTCTTAAAGGGATAGTTCACCCAAAATGAAAATTAGCCCATGATTTACTCACTCAAGCCATTCAGTGTATATGGCATTCTTCTTTCAGCCAAATACAATAGGAGTAATATTAAAACAAATGACCTTTTCTGTTTATAAGTCCATAAAAAATGCATCTATCCATCATAAAAGCATTGCACACAGCTTCAGCGATTCTCTTTAATAAAGGCCTTCTGAGGCGAAGCGAATTTGTGTATGAAAAATATACATATTTAAACTTTATAATAAATAGCTACATAAAATAATAGCTTTAAAAATAAATAGCTTCTGGCCAAACAAACATACAGATTCCACTTAAGTCTAAAGCGCAACTTATGCGAGTAATGCAAAGTACTGCTGATATTTACGCACTATTTAACGTGACGCACTACGCTACTTCTGTTCTGACATCATGCTGTGCTTTAGGAATAAGTATAGGCGTTTGTCAGAAGCTTGAAGCTTTTACTTGGTAACGTGTTAAACATGAATATTTTTCTTACACAACCCATCTTTTCATCCTTTATTAACCCCCTAGAGCCGTGTGGAGCACCTTTATGATGGATGGATGCACAATTATGGACTTGCAGAAATGGCCATCCATCTCAGCAAAAAACTGAAATTTACTTGGGCCCCTCCCTGTGGACGAATTTTTGTCCTTTACTTTTTTGTAGGCCTCCACCAACATGTTCTATTTGCGAGCCACCTTGTCTTGCACAAAGGTCTGCTTGAAATGGTGGCTCAGCTTGCCACCAATATCCTCCCACACCAGCTTCTTGGACCTTCTGTCCAGCTTCAGGCACTGATTCAGGTCATGGAGGGACCTGGGAGGGCCCTTACCCTCTGCCTCTATTTATAGCCGCACGTGGTCAATTAGTAATAATTTTTGGTCCTTTAAAGAAACAAAGACTTGTTGGCGACAAGTGAGGCAGTAGCAGGCAGTGGGACATGAAGGCATTAAGGTGGTGGCTCCCACCGCCCTGATATCTGAATCAGAAAAGAAAAAGAAAGAAAGATGTTTGCACAGCCCTCGGGGTTTGATAGCAGTGCATGTGCATTATTATCTTAGCTGTGCTTTCAATGCAAACCACGTTAACTGAGGTCATGAGCCTCTGGTCCAAGTAATAATAAGTCGCTGGGTTTGCTTGTTGTTGAAACAAGGGCCCTTGAAAGGGCCGGGTCCTCTCCTGGTCCCACTACAGATTAGAGGTCTTCACAGTGCACCCGAGACCCGTCGGCCCCGGACCCGACCCGGGACCCGTACGGGTTCGGGTCTATATTTTAAATGAGCAGCCGGGTCCGGGTCGGGTCCGAATCTATTACTTCGGGTCCCGGGTCTGTTTAACATTGTGTGTAATACCAACGCATTCTCATCCTTTAGCGTCATATAGGACGCGCTGTATAACAAAACGGCGAAATACTACTCACATGGCACCCGTTATCCTTAATATAACACGCGCTGAGAACGGGCTGGTAATACACGTGCGATTGGAGTGCAATCTCAAGCGCGTGTCATGTTTCTATGGCAACCAGAGCAGAGCTTCCGCCAAACCGCGCTTTGCATTTTCTCCAATGTTTATAATAATATAAATGAACCGTCTTGTTTAATCTTAAAGTTTTGGTGGTCAGATTCAGACTCAATGAAGAGCAGAGAGCACAGATATGATCAAGCTGAACAAGCAATCGTAATTATAGTTCAAAAGGGCAAACAGTTAAAGTTATTATGCGAGTTAACTCGAGTCAGAATGTGCATGTGTGCAAGGCTGCATTTTTCATCCATCACCGTGACATCAAGTGGACTTTTAAAGCTGAAATAATGAGTGGATTAAGCTTGGAAAAACGAGAGAAACAACATGGATAGAACTTTCTTGTCGGTGGCTTGCAATGCATCACAGTCAGTCAGATAACGTCAGGAAGTGAGACGACGACTACTAAAATTAGGTAACGTTAAGACAAAAAGTTTTATTTTTCGCAACTCGTGTGAAATATTATGTGACAATCGGGTCCAGTCGGGTTTGTGTCTTCCTGCCGGGTTCGGGTCCAGTTTTCAAATAATAGACGGGTCCAGGTCGGGTCCGGGCAGTACAATTATGGCATTTCTCGGGTCTAAACGGGTCCGGGTCCAACTTTTGAAATGAACGACGGGTCCGGGTCGGTTCGTTGTAGCACATTACGGGTCTCTTCCGGGTCGGGCATTAATTTTTGGACCCGTGAAGACCTCTGCTACAGATCCATCTTCCCAACATTGAGATGTATCCCAGATAAAGCACTTTTCTAGTAAAACCATAGTTTGTTTATGTAGGCTAATACCCAGATAGCACACGTATGTCTGCAAGATGTCTGATAAAGATACTTTATCTAGAAAGCATCTGCGGTTTACTAACATCTGATATGTCTATTTGACATCTGCCAGGATACGTCCTATGGACGTATTGCAGTTGAGCAAACATCTTCTGTAAAAACGAAATGTAAAAGCACCTATTTGTAATTGCATTACATTGTTTTGTTGTTGTGTTTTTCATTAAGATTTATAGGCTAATAAACCATTCAAGTAATTTGCCCTAATTTGAAATACGGTCTAATTTGAAAATGAAGCTAAAATGTGCACGGCCACACGTGTCAACGGGGCACGGATTTAGCAGAACAGAGCAAGCTTTTTCAGTTTATTCCTATGGAAAATTTCTTGTTCTCTTCTGCTCGCTCCGCTTTGTTTGACATGTGCGGCCGTGCAGATGTTAGTTTCGTTTTCAAATTGGCATTAATTCAGGGCATAATAACAAAACAGCTTCACACGACCGCACCATTATTATTGCTCGTGTAAATGCGCGCATTTTACGCTTGCATTTAAATTCGCCATTTAAAAATCGTAACTCGTAAATTTGCTAAATCGTACATATTTTATGAATTGGCCAATTCGTATGAATTCGTACGAATGACCTACCCCTTAGCCCGCGCCTAAACCTAACCATCACGTGGGTTTAGACAAATCATACAAATTCGTACGAGTGAGGTCGTACAAATTAGTACGAATTAGCCACTTTTTAATCATTCGTCGAATTCGCACAAATTGGTCGTGAGATAGGGTGGGTGATACCAGTATTACAAGTGTTGTCACACGTCGATTAACCGGTGGGAAAATATCCTCACGTCATATCCCTACTACACAATCTTACAAGCTTCTAGCACTTAAATTTTTTTATTATTAATATGATTGTGATTAAGACTACACCTTATCAAAATGCACCCATTTGAACTTCTAAAATTTTCACTTTTCATTTTTTCAGTTTATCTTCTGTTAGCAATGCTATAGCCACGTTAGTAACCGTTTGAAACAAGGCTTTATTTAATATTGCACTCACAACAAGACTGATTCCCATAACCACAGGCAGTGATACAGATTCAGGAAGGTATTGCAGTAATACGAGTGATTAAAATCGTCATTTAAACAACCAAAATGGTCCAAAAACATTGAAAACAATTCACACTTACAAGTCACACAGGTCGCAGCCATCTTGCATTCCGTATCAGAATTGAATTGTCCTCACGGTTGTCCAACTTCCGAGCTGAAAAATCTGAGGAAAGGATCCGCGTTGGTGCCCTGAACCTAGTAGTCGACATCTGAAGTGGATCAAAACAGTTCATCAAAGTACAGGTATTGTTCAAAATTCATGTAGGCCTATAACTGTGATGAAAGGTCTTGATCCATTTCAAATGTTGATTACTGTAGTTACCTTATATTAACCAGTACTTTCTTAGGTGAGTAGCCTACACTGTAAGTACTCTATGTAAGAGCATGTACTGTAAAATAAAGTGCAACCAGAAATGCCCCCTAGAATGACATTAAACAAAAGTGACTCTTGACAGCCCTAAAATTAGTTATGTGTGTGTGTCTGTCCATGAAGAACAGACCCCAGTTTGAAAACCCCCATTGTTTTGCAACAGAAACATCCCGGGTTACGTATGTAACCCTGGTTCCCCAAAGGGACAAACGCTGCGTGTAATCGCAGTGGGAATGCCCTCAGCGTGACGCGTAGAAATGAAATCAGTCAATGGAGAGAATGAGCGTACGGCGAGTGACGTCATCGACCAGGAAGCTATAAATATCCCCTGAGCACACAAGCCGCCAGTTTAAAGTTACTGAAGCAAGCGATCCAAGGGGATGCCGGGAGAATGGCAGGACACGCAGCGTCCGTCCCTTCGGGAACTAGGGTTACATACGTAACCCGGGACGTTCCCCTTAAGGGACTACCGCTGCATGTAATCGCAGTGGGAACGCAATACCCACATCCCCATACGACCAAATCCCCGTCGTGTGTCATTAGGAGGCACAAACCGACGAGAGAAACTGAGCCCCGGAAGTGGAGCTAAGGTCAAGGGAATAAAAACCTGACGAAAGGTTTTTATTTCTGTCGCATCACAAACGTCCTGAAGAGAAGCTCCTGAAAGAAGAGCTGTAGAGGCAGCCATACTCCTCATGGAATGAGCCCTTACAGCCAAAGGTGAAGGCTGATGGGCCGAACCATAAGCAAGCGAGATGGCCTCGACCACCCACTTGCTCATCCTTTGCTTAGATGCAGGACACCCTTGCTTAGGTGACCCAAAAACAAACAAACAGTTGTTCTGATCTACTCCACAGGGTAGCTCTGTGGACATAAGCATCTAAAGCCCTAACAGGGCACAGCAAATCAAGTTTCTCCTGGTCTGACGTCAGAAAAGGCGGAGGACGGAAAACTTGCAGAACTATAGGTCTAACAGAAATAGTTAGTACCTTAGGAACATACCCTGGTCTCGGACAGGGAAAGGCCTTAACTGAACCAGGAGCAAATTCCAGGCACGAGGAAGCCACCTAAAGTGCTTGAATATCTCCTATTCTTTTTAGAGATGAGATAGCGAAAAGAAGGATAGTCTTTAGAGTAAGAAACTTTTCCGCAACTTCCTCGATGGGCTCGAAAGGAGCTAGGGAGAGACCTTCTAAGACGATGGCCAGATCCCAAGCTGGTACCCTCGTGCGAACTGCAGGCCTCAGCCTCAAGGTGCCACGAAGGAAGCGAGATATCAGTGGTTGTGTCCCTAGGGAACCTCCACTTGAAGGGGCGTGGTAAGCAGCTAAGGCCGCCACGTACACCTTCTGTGTGGAGTGGGATAACCCAGTGGAGAGAGCTGGAGTGGAGCTCTGTACCAACTGGGCAGTTAACTGGGTCCTGCTGGCGCTCTCCACACCAAGAGGTGAGAAGTTTCCATCTCATGGCATACAACTTCCTCGTGGAGGGAGCTCTGGATTGGAAGATGGTTTTCAACAACCTCAGTTGAGAGACCAGAATCTATGAGCTGGGCCCCCTCAGAGGCCAAGCCCACAGCTTTCCTAGTTCTGGGCGGGGGTGAAGGATCGACCCACTCGCCTGAGAGAGTAGGTCTCTCTTGATCGGTATCTCTAGGGGAGAGCCGTCGAGGAGAGACACTAGGTCTGCAAACCATACTCGAGCCGGCCAGAACGGGGCAACTAGCAGAAGACTGAGCCCGTCCCGGCGAACCCTCTCCAGAACTCCCAGGAGCAGAGCGATCAGGGGAAATGCGAACAGACGCGACCTCGGCCATGGATGTACCATCGCATCCAACCCCATCGGGGCTGGATGGCTGAGAGAGAACCACAGCGGCAGTGTTATGTTTCTCGAGAAGCAAATAGGTCTACCTCGGCACGACCGAAATGTTTCCATAGGAGTTCCACCACCTCGGGTGAAGATTCCATTCCCCGGGCCTCAGCCCCTGTCTTGACAGGATGTCTGCCCCCTGATTTAAATACCTCGGGAGATAAATAGCTCTCAGAGAAAGAATTTTCCCCTGGGACCATAGAAGGATCTGACATGTCAGTTTTTTAAACGAGAACGCAGACCCCCCTGATGGTTGATTTATGAGACCACCGATGTGTTGTCTGTCCAGTGTCCAGACAAGAACATGGTGGCCCCTTAGGTCTGGGAGGAAGTGTTTCAGAGCCTGAAACACCGCCAACAACTCTAGGCAATTTATGTGCCACAGATGATGATGGTCCTCCCAGACCCTGAGCTGGGCGACCATTCGTGATCGCCCCCCAACCCCTGAGAGAGGCATCTGTCATTAGCATAACGCGATGACATGGAGCTCCTAACACAGGGCCTTGGGACAGAAACCAAGGATCTTTCCACATGGTCAGGGCGCGATGACACCGTCGCGAACTCGCGATCATGCAAAGTGGATTTCCCCTCGGGGAGAATCCCTTGGTTCTGAGCCACCACTGTAGCGGTCTCATGTGCAAGAGGCCAAAAGGTATCACGTTGGATGCAGCTGCCATGAGACCTAACAGTCTCTGGAACTGTTTTACTGTTTTTTTTAAACTGTTTGAGACGCAACACTTAGTTTCTGCTGCGCTCTTTTTGAGGGACTCGGCGACTGGGACTGCCCTCGCTCAGCAGCCCCAGTGACACGCACTTTAAGGGGCAAACATTTCTGGTCAGCAGGTCAGCCTGATAAGCTTGCATAATGGCCATAGTGTGTAGACATGCAGCCACCTGACCCGCCGTCGAGTAAGCCTTCCCCACTAACACAGAAGTGTATATATATATTTCCATTTTAGTGGTTTAGAGGGCAGAGCCGGTGCTTTAAGTGAAGATGATGAAGCTGGAGAGAGATAGCTCGCGAGCGTCTCCTCCGCCTTCAGCATCGTCACATAACCAGCAGATTTAGCACCAACAATGTTACCATAAACATTGGACTGATTTGTGTAAATTCTGCTTGAAACCGGTTTAACCCAGGTCTTTTTAACCTCAGCATGAAGATCTGGAAAGAACAGTAAGCTCCGGCGAGGCAGCCCGAGATAACACATCCATAAAACCTTCATCATGTGCAGTATACTGTGACAAACTAGTTTCCTCTGATGCAAAACTTTCGACATCCAGCTCCTCAGAACTGGATAATTTCAATTCAACATCATCACGTGCCTCTACCCGGGCAGAAGTAACAGCCGCAGCGCGGGTGAGAGGCACTGGATCCCGCCGGAAAAAGCTGATATAGGGCGGGGCTTGTCTCAACATCGCCGGTGAGATCCAACTTCTAACCCCAAGACAAGCGCCGCCGCCCTGCATCAACCGAAGCGGGACCCGAGCCTTGGGGAGCTCGCAGCATACCGCTCTCCTCAAAGAGCGATCGCCACGAGGGCAGAGTTCTCGGAGGAAAGCGCTCGCAATGCTCACAATCGACTCCCTCGAGAGCCGACTGGGCATGCTGCACTCCCAAACAAGCCACATATAGCTATACTGCTCACTCATATTGTTATATATATATATACATGCTTATATATATATATATATATATATATATATATATATAGTGAGAAACTCCTGTTGAAAACAGACAAACACAATCGATAGATTTCAGACACACATACAGAGCTTGCTGAAGTAACAAAAGCTGGCGGCTTGTGTGCTCAGGGGATATTTATAGCTTCCTGGTCGATGACGTCACTCGCCGTACACTCATTTTCTCCAATGACTGATTTCATTCATGCTTCAGACGCGTCACGCTGAGGGCGTTCCCACTGCGATTTCAAACAGCGGTAGTCCCTGAAGGGGAACCTATGGTGAAGAGATCAGAGCCTCCTCTGGAGAGCATTTTCAAAACGCATTGAACTCCTGCTATTCTGCCCTCAGAACGTATTGTGGCCACTGAAAAGGAGAAATGCCATGTTGTATGCAACAGCAGGGGAATAATGTTTCCTAAAGTCAGTGTATGAATGAGATCAAAAACATGTATATGTGCATGTTTTCAGATACTTGTTCCTGACTGGAGTAAAACACTCTTCTATTTCTCTGCCTGTGCTGACAACCGTCCTCGATCGAATCAGGAACATGGTAACAGCCTGCTGCTCATCTGCTGACGTCACATCGTGTTTAGTAGAGAAGGTGAGATGATGTTCATATATTCTTCCTGAAACTGACATGATTAACCAGTCTCTACTTTTCGACAGTTTTGTATCCTTGTTTTAAGTTTTGTGCTTAGTTAGCAGCAGGTCATTATTTTATTTTATTTATTTATTTATTTTTCTGTCCTTACTGGATAAGATTGCTTAAAAACAATGGGTAGATGGCCATTGTGAGAGGCTTTAATCTTTTTTGAAGCATGTCTATGATTTGCCAGCACAATGCCACTCTCTGACTTGAGAATGAGGGACTTAATTTTGCTTTGAAGTTTCAAGAGAGATGTTATGTTGATGGATTCCTTGGTTCTCTAGGCAATAAGGTGAACTCAAATGAAAAATTGTGTTGAGGCAGCAGGTGCCATTCATAAGGATGTTCAAGTAATTTAACCTTGAAGAAATCCTGTTATAATGCTGTAATTGGAGCTCCATGAGCACTTCTTTTCATGCTTAACAATGATGTCAAAAACTCACAGCTAACCTGATCAAACGTGTTTCAATGTTTGGTTCATTTAGTCTTTCAGTTTTCTCTTGAAGTTCCTCCAATTATCTGCTCGCTTGCTGCTACTCTACTATAAATGGCGAAGTGAAGAAGAGTTGCTGGTGTGAACATCTAATTAAAAAATTTAAACTGAATCTGTAACCAGGGAATGAATACACAACATTAACATGCACAAATGAAGTTCACTCACCAGCTGAGAGTCTTGCAAGATTTCAATTAATTTTGAGTGACAGGGTGCTTTTTGTACTCGCTGGGTGCTAACCAAGCCCGAACTGTCAAACAATGACACATCTCATCTTCTCTCCCGCTGCTCGACTTTGAACATTGACAATGAAAATTTTATTTTATGGGTTGTATTACTGTCCAAATGCCTCTTTCATTTCTCTCTCTCTCTCTCTCACAACTTTTATTGAACAGGAGAGTACATTGAAAAAGACTACAGCACTTCTGTCCAAGTTGGATGACACTTGCTCGCAGTACTTCAAACCGTAAGTTACAGTCAGACTTGAAAAGAACATCATCAGTTGATGTTATTCAACAACAGGGGATTTGGAAGAAAGGAGCCAGTTGCACATCAGTACAAACCTTACATGAATGCTTTATTTCCTGCAGGATACAGAGTGAGAGAGGAGAGACACAGGCAAAAGCATGGGTTAACTTCACCACATCCTGCTGTTCCAAGCATTCCCCGGCACAACTGTGTCAAAAGCTGGTGAGAGCACTGACTAACCACTATCCTCAAAATAATTTCAACCATAGACATTTTTGCAGTGTAAAACTAGTTTTTCTTGTTGTTTATTTATTAATGACAAGGGTAAAATTTTACAATAAGGTTCCATTAGTTAAATGGAAACATGGTGGTATGGAGCCCGATCTCATGAAAGTTCGTATCTATAGCACGAATGTCATTTCTCGTGCCATTCATACGCCAAAACTAGTTTTTGCATGTATATGGTAGGCATTTTTCACGTGCATATGATACGCACGTTTGGCGTATAATAAGTACGAACTCCCCACCCCCCTTGCCCCTAAAGCTACCCAGGGGGTTTTCAGTGTGTACTGTGTAGTAGCATATGCACGCAAAAACCTACAATCTGTGGTAAACAAATAGTTGATGTACCACATTCAATTCCATTGTATTTTTTCCCTTACTAAAAAAAAATAGCATTAATCAAAAAATAACTGTTAAATGTATGCTTAAAACAAGATAAATCCCTCAGAGGTAAAGTAAAATAAACTTAACTAAGTATTTCACCACCAGGACAAGCAGATCAAATCAGGATTCAGGGTGTCTGTAGAATTTAATACAGATATTGAACTAAGGTTTGATTAGAGCTCATATTTTATTTTTCAGACAGAGGATGTTATTAAGTATGACGACGAGACTGGCGTTTAAAGACTCGCTCATCAAAGATTCTTTTGAGCGCCAGCAATTATATTGGATGAAGAGATCTTCTAAATTCCCTCTCCAATTTGAAATGTCATGTCTCTTGTCATCTCAGATGTTTTATTCTTTAAATAAACTTTCCACTTGCTTCAAAGACTGTTTGTTTGTTGTCTCCGTTTGCTCTTTTAGCCCATGAGGCTTATGGCATTTGCAGTGTAAATGTATTAGGCATCTGTATGAATAACCTTTACCGGGAGCATAACAACATCCACAATGATTTCTGTTGTTGCCATGGTGTTTCGTCACACACTGGAAGACTGCACATTTACATTTGCATGTACATTTAGCTTTCATAGCAAAGTGATTAACAAAAATTATTCTCGAGATTTGATTTTAACTTCCCTTGATTTCAATACATTTTTTGCTTTTATTTATTTACATTTTTATTTTTCGCTTTTTTTTCTGAAATAAAATACAAAAATAGAAGTTATAGGCCCTCAGGAATTATCTGAGGAATTTATCTCCTTGTCCAACATGACATGCGTGTATGTCTCCGCCATTAACGTCCGAGTGATTCCGCGTGTCTGTAGGCTACGCGCCGTCAAATGTCCGCGCGAAACGAAGCAAAATGTAGATCTACATCTGGGGAGCGATCTTTTTTTCCCCCTAGGATGTTAAGGGAACAGTCATAAATGCCATTAACCCCAGTGACGGCTAGGTTTAGGGACAGGGTTGAGGTAAGTCATATATTTATATACAGTTTAAATCAACGGCGTTCATAAACACACTGAAAAGCGATTATGCGTCTTATTAGCACGCCAAAAATGGAAATACGAATTGGCGTGTCATACACACGCTACTTCATGAGATCAGTCTGCAGACCTTGTCAGTTTTCAGATAAGATGCATAAGTTAAATTAAAATCTCACTTGTGTAGATGGCTTTATAGCTTATCTTTATACATTTTTGCAATTCAAAAAATACAATAAAGCACACAGTGGCACGGTGGCAGAATGCACCCTGTTTCAGTAAAAAAAGAACAATTCACACTGATTAACCAAACAACTTGTATGGTTCTGAGCACCATTCAAGCCTTGCAGTTATGGTGGGCATGGATGTTGAATTTCACACACACCATGACCATTAGAGAGACATTTTAACATTTGTCTTTCTCAACATGATTCTAACACTCATTAAAAATTGATATGGTTTGTATTGGTCACATGAGGTTCCTGGAGCAATAAAGAGAGTTGAGTGAATTGCATCTCTATCTCGCATTGCTGACGGAGGCTTCTCCAATTTTAGTTTGAACCTGGAATTTTTTTCTTATCAAGCTGCTTCATTGGTACAGGAGTGGACTTTAGCTTTCTTTGCCAATTCAAACTCTTTTGAACACGGCTGAGTTCTGGAGATTTAAATGGATTTTTGGATTCAAAAGTAGTTTTAAATTGAATTGAATGGCTAGGATGTTATGCATCACTTCAAAATGTCTCTGATGGTGATGCACTGAGTAAGGAGTGTGGACCACATGAATTAACTAGAATGCAAGATGTTTCTAGGCCCTCAAACATGTTCTTCCTGTTCTAAGATCGCAATATTGATCGGAACTAAAAAGAGACTCACACTATACAGCTTTGTGGATCACATTTAGGCTGGCAGCATAACAGAATGATGAAAAAAAGAACATGTGCTGAACAATTCCTTTACGCCTTGTGGTCAGCTGGACAAAACCACTATAACTCATAATACATAGTGAAGACTAAAATTTTTGTTTTGCTTAACATGAAAAGAACTGAAAATGCTATGATTTAGCATTGATGTCTGCTGGCTGTAAGCTACTGTAGTACATCTCTCTCTCTCTCTCTCTCTCTCTCTCTCTCTCTCTCTCTCTCTGTCTCTCTCAATCCCCATGTATGCGTATATATATATATATATATATATATATATATATATATATGTATATATATCTTGAACCCGGGTCTCTCACGCCAAAGGCATCTGTCTTTTCACCATATATATAACAGCATGTTTTAGTGTGTGCATTTGCTTTGGAATTTCTAAAATCATTAAATGCCATTAATTAGTTTGACGCTGCATCATGGTGTATGAAAACTCTTTGTGGAATGGTGTCTGAAGCAGATGCGAACTCCAATTTTGATGCTTGCACAGATGCACTGACGGGCTATAATAGGCCACCTGAAGAACATGTCATCAGCTCTTTGGTCTTCAGGAGGCCACTTTGTTTTAAGTTTGTGCATGTGAAATGTGGGTTTCTTAAGAAATCAAACAGTATGGGAAGAAAGTGTGGGTTTAGAAAACGTTTCTCGCCCTGTTCTGTGTTGAATTTTGAGCAATGATACAAACAAAATATGTGTCATCTGTGGTCATCATGCATGGTCAGCTCTGGCTGTGTTCACTGTGATCGTTTCACAGTGAAGAAGCTTCACTGCAACTTGGCTCTGTAAAGGAGATGTTCCTCGCGGCAAATGCTCCACGTCTTTCTCTCTCTTTGAGCGACTCCAACCTTGCTCTTTAAGCCTTTTCAAACCACATCTCAGCTCAAAGGCAAGGCGAATTCAGCGTGTCAGGCCGGGGGCGCTTTATGCAACATTGCAGTAATGCAAGCATACCAGGCCGATTTATTAAAGGACATTCCAGGTAATGAATTTGGGAGTGGTAAATATCACCACTTCCTCATTGGTCGCATTTACCAATATTGGAAGTACAGGGTAGAAGCAAATTGCTATCTCTATAATCACATATAAATGGTCTGTTACAGAAGAGTAACACTCATATCCCACTTCCTCATCTGAGTTAGCGTCAATGTTCCAGCCATTACATGATGGACATCAGTTTTATCATGTGGATAAATATCTTGTGTCAATTTTGTTCTTTTCTGGTAAAAATAAAATGTTGTTTCTGCCTTAACTTCCAAAAGCAGAGGGAAAGCAAAGGCAGAAGCCCGTAACATCAGTTAAGGCACTCTGCCTTTGTTTTACCCACCAGCAACAAGTTCCAGCGCTGAAGTTACGGCGTTATGCCGTAATGTAATTGAAGCGTTTTTGCCACATGCATTAAATAAAGTGAAAATAAAATTGTACCGCTGTTGCAGTGGTACTATTAACTAGTACTAGTAGTAGGTCTACAAGTTTTCTCGTGCCATAAAGGGTCTGACAGTCCACTCACTGACAGAAAACAACGCGAGTAGGTTGGCCTCACAACACGCCTCACGACACACCTCCCCTGGCGAGGAGAAAAGAAAACATTCCCACGCACACAAACCAACCCAGCAAATATAAAAGATCGCAGCTTACCTTTTTTTTTTTTTTTTAAACATGGTCAAAATCCATGGAAAACAACATCAATTGAGAAGACAAATCCATTGTTTAAATCCATCATGTGCCGGTTGGCTCGCCTAACGTTAATCTATCAAAGTGCAAAGTTGTCCGGAGGTTTACATTCAATTTTAAGTGTCGCTGTGGGTAGCTAGTACCCAGCTAACAAAAACACGTCCCCAGGACGTCCCCTGAACGTCCACTGCGAACGTCCCCTGAACGTCTTCGTGTAGGGTTCTTTAAACGTTCTCAGGACGTCGCAGGGGACGTTTGCGGGACGTTCACAGGACGTCGCGGGGGACGTTCGCGGGACGTTCACATGACGTCGCGGGGAACGTTTGCGGGACGTTCAGCAAACATTCGGGGACTTTTCAGACTTCTATAGTGATCTTTACGTTCACTAGAAGTATTTTTTAACATATTAACTACCCAAGGAACAAACACACAACAAGGAATATTAGGAAACAAAATAATTTTATTTTCATTATCAAAAAAGAGCGTGTGTGTTTGCGTGTCCGGTTGCCAGGTTCAGATGATGGCCAGTTCAACTCTGCTACTGAGCAGGGCATCAGCATGGAACGATCTAGGAACACAACAAACCATTTGTCACATAGCCAACAGTTATCTTGTTGCTGCTGAAATCACATAATTTTTCTTTTTATCAATATTTATGAACCATTAGCTAGTTCAGCCGTGTAAGTGACGTCATCGATTAACAGTAATAAAACGTAACGTTTTATGTTAAATACATACGTTTTTAGCTCACTTCCAAGCAAAATATTTAGGCTACAAAAATATCAAAACCTCTAATCAACACATAAAATGTGATTAAAAGCCCAAACATTCATAAACAAAAGCTCAAGCTATAACGTTAGCCTTACGTTAACTCTGTAGCTAAACGGTTAGTGATGCTAATGGATTTTTTCGAAGACACTAACCCATTTCTATAAAGTAACGTTAAATATTAAACAGAAGCGTGCCAGTTAAAATTAAGAGAAGTGTCAAAAACAGTCGTGTGTATTATTTGTGTGATTTTACAGACTAAACTCACCTGAAAGCAGTGAAAACAGGGAGAGTCGGAGTTTGCTGTCTGCACTGGTGACCCTCCGTTTCCATGGCAACTCAACTTCACGCGCATGCCCGTTAAAACGCATCAAGTCATATATTTACAAACATAAATTAGAATTATAACCTACTTGAATAAAAATATCATTATTAAAGCATGAATCTAAAACTTATTTTAAAGCTATGACCCGTTCCTAGGATTATCACTCCGGGACAATGGCACTTTTCAGGTTTTTTTATTATTGTTTTTGCGAACACTCAAGCATATCTCATTTGAACATGTGCTAAAAATGCTAATAGGCAGTATTTTTATACCACCAACACTTCTTGTTTTTATGGTTTTGCACCTTAATGTCAAAGTGCACGTCCTCAAAATGTCCCCCGGCGAACGTTATAAACCGGACCAAATGCGGACGTCCTCGGAACGTCCCCCGGCGAACGTTATGAACCGGACCAAATGCGGACGTCCTCGGAATGTCCCCCAGCGAACGTTATACCGGACCAAATGCGGACGTCCTAGGAATGTCCCCCAGCGAACGTTACGTACCGGACCAAATGCGGACGTCCTCGGAATGTCCCCCAGCGAACGTTATGTACCGGACCAAATGCGGACGTCCTCGGAATGTCCCCCAGCGAACGTTATGTACCGGACCAAATGCGGACGTCCTCGGAACGTCCCCCAGCGAACGTTATAAACCGGACCAAATGCGGACGTCCTCGGAACGTCCCCCGGCGAACGTTATGAACCGGACCAGATCCGGACCTAATTAGACGTTCGCAACGTCCGGAGGACGTCCCCTGTTTGCTGGGTAGGGTAACCAGAAGTCCCGTTTACACCAACCACTATGAAATTGTCCCGGCTAAACAGTAAAGCTAGCTATGAGCTAAAAGTCACTAAAGTAGATAGCATTTGGTCACTCACTGCCGTTGTCGGGAAAAGAACAGACGTGAATTAAAGGTTGCGTTTACTTAAAACTGGTAAAACTCGTGGTGCATTCATAGTTGTTGTAAAATATCAAATATCTCATCTGTTTTTGTCGTTTAACTTATATTCATAGCTTTAAAAAAATGTGAGAATTATTTCATATCAATTATTTTAAATAAATGATGTTTTATAACTCAAACTACATTTAATGTACAAATTGCACCAGTATTAGATTTGACTAAAATAAGACTGTCTTATTTATATTTTATATGTATGTACTAAATAAATTTCCATTCTGTCCAGAAAAAAAATATATTAAAACTAACGTTAAAATTAAAATTACAGTTTTAAAATGATCCAATACAGATAATAGCCTTCTCATTATTTTTTAAAAAATATTCTATTGATGTAAAATTAATCCTTACTAGACAGAACTCACTAAATGTTATTGTCATGCTTTCATTATTATCACAGAAATGTTCGTATGGAGTGATAAAAGTCAAAATGGTCAATAAATTAGAAGTTAAGGTATTTTGCCTTTGTATGACCCATTATTGTTTTGCAGATAATGCAAAGGCAGAAAATACATTAACTTCCAAATAAAGGTCAAGAGTCAAGTTTGAGCTCAATTTTTTTTATGTAGATAAATATATTTATTATGACAACTACTTGGCAAAGTTTCAGTGTCCTACCTATCATACAATTGGCTGGACAACAAAAAAAACTTTAAACTCATTTTTCTCAGTTTCACACTCTGGCGAGTTAAGGTCTTTTGCCTTTGTAGGGCAGTATTGTAACACGTTTGTAACGGTTTGTAAAAAGAAGTAATGGAATAACAGACCATTAAAAAAAGTGGACATTGTCACCATTCGTGAACAGATCTCCTGAAGGTTTGATATTTCTCCTTGAGGCACTTGAGGGTAGAGCAGACAGTTGAGAGAAAGCACTGCTCTCTCCTGATGTCTCTTTTAGTCCTTGAAGCCACTTAATTATATGCTCCCTTCGATTTGGGTTGCCCATTAGAGCTTTGGCCAATGGGGTTTTTATGGTTGGATTAGCAGTAGGCCTACTTTAATTTCACAGCACAGTGAGCAGGCATTTGTTCAGTCTGCCACAGTGGGTTTTAACATTTAACACCATGACGTAGCATCGACGTTCTACTTCAAATGGTAATGTCTTATGAAACCCAACTCCCTGAGAAGAAGGCGCTATGTCTTGTTGCCACTTCAGACAATCTGCAGCTGATGACGTGTTCTTCAGCCTCTTGTCGGCGCCCCTGTGACGTCATCGGCCTGTCGTGGCCAATCCAAATTGGTGTGTATTCACGTTTTAGACACGGGTTCACATGGAGTCTTCCCAATGTGTCAAAACCATGACGCAGCGTCTCATTGCCCTTCTCAGGGAAATGGGTTACATATGTAACCTTTTCTCCTATACTAAATTGAAAAGTAATGATTCTGCACTCTGTTGTCATGAGTAGCCTGACAGCCTTGCTGGCGTAGGAGGGTTTTAATGTCACATTATGCACTAATAATGCTAATGATTTTGAAAGGCTTTGAAAGTGACATTAGTTCAAATGGGCATTATGTAAAACGTTTTTGTGACTACACAGGTTTAAATGGAATTATTATATTTGATTATTCAATTAATGAAGCCTTATTTCTCTTTCTCTTCTCTCCAAACCCCTTCATCCTCGAAATTTAACATTCGCTAAATTAGAAGTGCATTCCATGGACTCTGCAATGTTAAGTTTGAACACTAGATGGTGACATTGTGTCATATTCAGTGTGAACAGCTCAGGCAAGTAATAATCAGGTTGAGAATTAGTCAAGATTGTTATTATGCAATATTGTAAATTACATGCCCTTCACTTTTTGCCCACCCTATGCCTGACCATATATGTCATGTTTAACATGAATTGAAGTAAAATCACTATTGTTTGTAAATGTCATAAAAATAAACACAGATTAAGATTGTTTTGGTCCCCAAATTTACTACAAATATAGATATATGATAAAATGTAATTTTATTGGATATTGATGGAGCAGCATAAGTTTATTAATGGGTTATTAATGGGATTAAAATGGGTTTGATAGTCTAGTGTAGAAATAGGGGCAAATGATATATCAAACTTAAATGTTTTCCAAAATGGAAATACTTTTGTTTGTTTTTTGAGTACTGACGGATGATACTGATGGGAAAAAGCAAAAATAATAATAAAAAAAATATATATATATATATATAATAAAAAAAAAACGAGGAGGCCATTTAATAAATTCTGTTCATTTTTAATAGTCATTTCCTTTGAAAAATATAAATTCTAAAATAATTGCAGCTGTTTTGTTCTAAAAAGTCACAAAACTTGATTAAAAAAAGTTTCAGTTACACACTCTACAATTAATATTTAGCATTGCTTAAAACGTTCAAGAATTTCCCCAGACATGCTTTCACAATAATTTTGTGTTTTTATGTACCCCCCAAAAAATATAAGTTAAAAATCTTATACTTACAAGGTTCAAGGTTGATTTTGAAATGACAGTATAGTACGTTTTTTGAAAGAAAGAGGAAAAGTGATGGAAAGATGGGAGAATAATGTCAAATTAGCAGGAATCAATATAGTATTTGGGGTTCTTGAAGAATCAAGGCTCAAGGAAAACATGTTTCAGACACTGTATGACATATTTCCCTGTCCTCTGAAAATCTTCCTTCAAATGCATATACCACTAACAAATTACACAATAAGACATTCAATCCTAGACATCATGTAAATGGTGCACAAATAATAATAATAAAAAATCTTAAACCTAAAGGAATTTCATGTATTACTGTAATTCAGGTTTAAGCCACTTGGGTAAATAATTTGCAGGATGCCAGAGTACATGTAGGTTTACACATGTAGACTTTTTTATGGTTTCCAAAACCAGGTGAGGAAGCAAATGTCTAACAAGACTTGAAAATCAAAATGAATTAGGCTTTCTTAATTAATCAAGCTTGTTAGAAAATGTTTGGATAATTAGGCATACACATTGTTTGTTAGGAATGGAAGGAAACAAATAAAATTGAATACCACATTATATTAAATGAAACTATGAAAAACAGCTGGTTCAATGCCAATCAATAACATTAATAATCATTTAAAAGTTAAATCAACAGTTATATATTACAATATATTATGTCACAGTTGTTTGCTCTTATCATAACAGAAATCATTTGCTGAATACTTTGCTCAAGATATACACTAAAAAAGACCAACATTAAAATCTCATGCTTTGCAAATAAAAAAAAAATGAAAAGGTTTTTTTTTTTGTTTTTTGTTTTTTTACATAATGCCTACCATGCAAAACAGAGGTAGAGCAGCAAAAATAAAGGGAAAATAGTGCCATGGTAAGTGAATTTGATGGAAAGATTCATATTGTATTGGATGAATAATGGAGGAAGTAGCTCTGGAATTGTGGGAAACAGCTACAGCATTTCTCTACAGCTCAGCACATACAGTAAGTGAAACAATGAACTGAATTGCATAGTAGTTTAGGGATTACAATTCGCAAACCATAATAATTAAGTGAATGAAAGACAAGTGTTCCTCGAGCTGTTCTTAAGTCTTTACAGAAAGGGTCTGTGATGGGGAAGAGTTTTTACAAAATATCTCATGGTAAATGGCTTTCAGCAAATTGGAGTTATATGGACGTCTCGGACCCTCGACTTCTCCAGTAGAAGGCATTGCTGTCATCTGGGTCCATGTCTATTTTAATCTGAGGCACATTTAATGGCAGTCTCTCTGAACTGAAAAATACAGATGAGTACAGTCAACTTCCTAATAGGTATTCAGATAATTTCCCGGTAACAACCAATAATTGCTTTGAAACAATTTAACTAGTGGTTCAAATACCTAAGTGCAACCTAAGAACAACGTAATAGAGGTGATATTATGTAATCAAGAAACCTTGACAAATTATGATTTTTCATCGTCATTGTCAGCATCCTTATTGAATTATAGTAATAAAAACCCTGTTTTTTTATGCAAAATCTGAGCATGGATCTAATCATTTTAATTAGATGTTCTTAAGAGCACATTTTACACTTCTCAATATCATCTGTTGTTGTTATACATCCATACTATAAATACATACTACTAATGCATACAGATGCATACCTTGACATCGGGCTGGTCTGAAAGTAGTACCGCTTTTCAGCACGATGAATATCGGTCGAGGAATGAAGGGGACTTTTCTCCTACAAGAGGGACACATGGTTCATTAATATTAGCACATGCATGACTTCACGTTCTGCAGAACACCAGCACTGTACACCAACTTCATGCATTCACACCATGCAGGATGAACGCCACCAGCATACAGCATACAAAAAAAGAAGAAGAAGCAGATTCACTTCATTCTAAAGGTGTCTAAGGATTCTATATTGAGTGAGTGCTGGGATTTTTTAATGGGATTATTTTTTATTAGCATTTCCATTAGATAATTATTCATTCTAATACAACTACAAAGTTTTAGTAAAAAAATAAAATCACAGAGGACACGCTAACTGACTCTTTTTAATCTTGATCATCAGTTTCACTGATGCAAATCTAAAAGGAGTGATATTTTCTGCATCTTTGTCAATCTCGGTTAACAAGACAGATGGGCAAAAAATATTCAAGAGGATATAAGTGTTAAAATGATCCCAGAATCCATGTTAGTAGGACACAAAATCACAGTAAATGCAAACAGAAATGCAAAAGTAAAGCAAAATGATCACGACAAGAAAGAGGTGAGTAATGAAGATGTCATTTGCCATAGAGGACTGACATTTAGTCCACAAGTATTATGTGACAGAGGAGCAAGTGGTAGCGTGAACGGCATGCAAAAGGAAGAAAGCAAAACGTTCAAGCTGAATCATTAAAGAGGTACAAGTTGACTTGAGGCCCCAGGTCCGGTCTACTCACTGTCAGAGGCCTTATCCCCTAAAAAAGGCTCCTGCTCCATCATGTCCATTGGGATTTTAATGCTGGGGACATTCTCATTGTAAGGATAGTCAGACTGTACAGGGAGAAACGGTCAAAGAGTTTTAGGAGCTGAACCTTCATGTAGCAGAGTGGTTCACACCTCCTCTTTCATGACCGGGCCGGCCAATTATTCATAGTATTAAACTGAACTAAACAAACAAACAAACAAACAAAAACGCCTTCATAGAAAATGCATAGCTTTCTGACAATCATAGAAAATTTCTTGGTGTCACTGAGGTGCTTAGTACTTATTAATTTTCAATAGTTTTGCTTTTTCATTGGAGCTATTTTAATTAAATAAACAAATTTTAAATTAAAGGGTTAGTTTACCCAAAAATGTGTAAGTAATTACCCACCCTCATGTTGTTCCAACCCCGTAAAATTTCCGTTCATCTTCGGAACACAAATTAAGATATTTTTGATTAAATCTGAGAGCTGTCTCACTCCTCCACAGTCCCACGCATCACACACATGACCAGCGTCGGCCAATAGAAAGCCTACATTCTGACGTACAACACAGAAGCGTTGCGCTGTTACACTACATGAACTCACTCAGAGGCCTACTAACTACTAAAGAGAATTAGTAGTTGAGAAAATTAAAAGTTTAATAAAGTCGTTTTTTTTTTTTTTTTGGGTGGGGGGTGCACAAAAAGTATTTGTCGTCGCTTGATAAACTTATAGTTGAGCCACTGTAGTCACTCTGACTATTTTAACAATGTTTTTACTAACTTTTCTAGGCTGGCAAATTTCAATCCCTTAGAAACCTATGGAGGACTGAGACAGCTCTCAGATTTAATCAAAAATATCTTAAACTGTGTTCCGAAGATGAACACATGTCTCACAGGGTTGGAACAACATGAGGGTGAAAAATTACTGACACATTTTTCATTTTTGGGTGAACCATCGCTTTAATACATAAATAGTCAAACATCTATCATCAATTCCTCAACTGTTCGGTGTATCATACACAGGTAATAAAGCAATCGATTAAAGCTAAACCCATTTCTCGAAGTCTAAAGTATTCATAATAGTAATATAAAAACAAAAGCTTGTGGCATTTTTTAGGAAACTCACATCTTCCATGTCGCTGTCTATGCTCCCTTGTTTCTTCTTTTTCTTTTTCTTCTCATCCTCCTTCTTTTTCTTGTCCTTCTCAGGTATGACATCATCCAGGAAGCTGAGGTCATGCTGGGAGAAGACATAGTCCATGGCCTTCCTCACAGCAACCAGAGCCAAGATCTGACCAATGAGAAAACAGCAAATGGTGCCTTTTCAGTCAGCGCAAACAGTATGATGAAAGAGAAGTGTTTCAAACAAGTATTGCATTTGAGTGTCTGTTTCTAGTGGGCTGAAAGAACTGACGAGTAATTTTTAGCCACTCATCAAAGCCCTGAAGCTCTCAGTTTTGCAGCCACATCTGCTTCTAGCATTAATATTTGTTAAATCACAAATAGGTGAAAAAGGTGACTAACCATGACGGGAAAGATGATGGCTGCCACAGTGGACTTGAGGACCCAGAGGAGTGCCAGGCAGAGCATCTGGACAAAGGTGAAGAGATGGACCTTCCTCAGTGGGACATGCCGCAGATAGATCAGGTCTGGTTGGTGTTTGGCAGGCATGAGGAGCAGCTTGAGTCGGTCCATAAACTGAGAAAAAAAAAGAGCAATACTCTTTAAGACAGTTCCCCCAACTAAGTTACTATCAATCGATTTCAAATAGGGATTATTTGGTAACACTTTATTTCGATAGTCATTTAGACATTCTACTAACTATCAACTACATGTCAACTAACTGTCATTAGAGTATTAGTAGACTGTCAGCTTAATATCTGCTAACACTTTATTTTGTTGGTCCCCCAACAGACATTCAACTGACTATGAGTAACTTGGAGACTACAAGTAAACTTATTCGCCTAACACCTAACCATAACCTAACAGTCTACTGACAATATACTAATACTCTAACGAGAGTTAGTTGACATGTAGATGAAAAGTTACTTATGATTAGTAGAACGTCTAAAGTGACTATCGAAATAAAGTGTAACCGATTATTTAAATGATTTCATACTCCACGTGATAATGTGTATGGGTTTAGATAATGTGTATGGGATTTGTTAGATTCAAACCTGAATTATAATTCTACATTCCAGAAACTGAATGTCATAGGCTTTCCCAATTCAGTTTTTAATGAACTCACCTGCACTCCGTTGAGTGAAGCAACACCCATGTAGAGGAAGACTCCATAAAGCACTGGCATGGGTATGAACTACAGGAAATAATTATTCAATTATTCAAAGCCATTGTGGGTTTGAGAAAATTCAAAGAAAAAAAAAAAACAACACACTAATGGATGCACTGTATCATTACCTTGAGGATCGGGGACATGAAGACAGACAGACCGGTGAGAAGGAAGACAAAGACACCAGTGACTCTTTGTTCCCTGAGGAGACAATTACAAAATGTAAAATATAAAAATAATAATAAAGTTTTGCAGTTTATGGTCATTTTTGCTCAGCAAGGCTGCATTTATTTGATCAAAAATGCAATAAACATGTTGTGAAATATTATAACAATTAAAATGACTGTTTTGTATACATTAATATATTTTAAAATGTAATATATTCCTAGAATGGCAAAGCTGACTTTTCAGCATCATTACTCCAGTCTTCAGTGTCACATGATTTTAATTTTAGGAAGAATGCAACAGTCAGATATGTTTATCCACAGTGACTTGCAGTACACTTATTACAGTGACAGTCCCCCTGAAGCAACTTGAAGTTTAGTTCCTTGGTCAGGGGCATAAACATAAACATACATTCCCCTAACCATTAGACCCCACCTCCCCAATTATGAATGGAAATATTGATTATCATTATTATTTGAAATACTTCGAGAAACATATTGGATTGGTTAACCAAACCAGAGAAGTGTTCAAAATACGACCTAAATACTGCTGGCGTGTTTTCGGCAGACCTAGGCCGTTCACGTTTGTACAGCTTACAGCTGCATCAATAAAACCCCCTAGAGTTCAGTCCAACATACAGGCGCAACATTTTAAAAGGCATCCCACTGAGCCCAAAACTGTAGTCAAGAGTGACGCAAAAGCTGTTATAGTCAGATCTATGACACTGTACAAATATCTCAATCAAATATCTCATCATTTATATGCTTTACAACATACCTGACACCCAAAAATTTAGGCTGTTCGCCAGGGGCGGACGTCTCAGTCTCCATCTTCAAGCTGTCAATGTGGGCGATGGAAATAACAGTCGCAGCTACATACCATGGCAGACCCATGAAAGAGCACACCGCTAACAGCACAGCCACCAATAACAGGTCCAGATGATAGCCTGCACCTTTCTGATCGAGACAAAGATTAAGGATGGTCACAGATGTTGTCAGAGGTATCAAAAACATTTGATGACTGATAACAGTGGTCAGTGACAGTTTGCAGGAATAGTTTGCCTATTTCTAGCAGCCTCTTGTAATGCTAAACTTGCATGCTGTTTTTTTTTTAATTGAACATCATTTAAGGAGCTCTTTTCCAATGTCTTAATCATGTCTGTCAAGGTCCAAAACAAACAAAGCATCATAAAAATAGTGAACTGTTGTCTTGTTAAAACCAACAAAAAGATGACAATTTCGAATTTACAATTTAGTAAGTGGAACAGTGGTGTGGATAATATGCTAGATTCAGCTTTTGATGTGTTACAGTAGATCCCAAGTTCAAATCCACCGTTTCCCAGTCCTATTCTTCTCCCTATTCCCATCATGTTTCCCAGTCCTGTTCTTCTCCCTATTCCCATCGTGTATCAGCTTGGAGAGAGGTGATTAGGGTAGGTTTTAAGGATAAGCAATAGGCAGCATCCATTTATGATTTTATAAATATAATCAGAGACACTGATTATGTTGTTATTGCATAAAACTTCACTACATCACACAAATGTACAGTACAATATGTCTCCAGGGCAGTGTAATTCTCAGAGATGACAATAGGAGTTCTTCCATGGGGTTGAGAGGACACAATGTTTTTAAGCCTGTCTCACATTACAGGCCACAAGAGAATAAATGGTTTGCTTTTGTCTGATTCACAATTCCTCTTTGTTCCACTACACGAAATATGTTACAATAATGTGGACCTAAAGTGTGATAGTGGGGTGAAATCGCTTTTAAAATATATAGCAAAATTATTTTAGGTTGAGATCCTATTATGGATTGTATCGATATTTTAATTAGTTTTAATTTTTATATGTTCTGTTTTTTTTTTCTTGTAATTTTGTTTTTCATTTTATACATTTTTATTAATGCCTATCTAGTTTTTATTCATTCATTTCAGTTTTAGTTATTTCAGTACATAGTACATTTTAGTAAATGAAAATAATGATAAAAAAGTTCCCCTTGGCTAATATAATATAATATAATAACCCTGACTTATAATTCAAACTTATGTATATTTCTTGATTAACAACAAAGCCTATCTAGCTATTAAAATCATTATATTACAAAATCTAACTTCTTTTCTTTCAGTTTTCAATTCAAATTACGAATTTAACAAATATGAATTCCTGGATTATTCATGGCAGCTTTCCCCCCTTTGGTGTGTCTCAGTTTCTCAGACCATCTGTTTGAATAATGCTAATTTTGACTACAAATGCTGATTCACATCCTCCAGACAAAAGATTAAAAGGCTATATCTGTAAGAGACTTTCTAGAAATATCCCGATATAGTCACCCTCCGGCACTGTGAGCGTTTCCTGTGGTCCTGGGTGGCTCAAAGTGAGCATGATAAACCATCTGGCTTGGGAGAGAGTCACACAGCAGACTCACGACAGGCCTACCTTAAGCTTGTGCTCCTTGCGATTTACAATGACAGCGGTGATCTGCTGATCCATGAAAAGCAGGATGGTGACCAGCAGGGCAGGCAGAGCTGCTGCCAGGTACACCCACCAGGGGTTCCCTCCGAACGGTGGCACAAACCAGCCACGGTTTGGGCTTGTTGGCTGAGGACATGCGAGGAATGCAGTTTGAGGATCACAGAAGTGGCACTTGGCAAAAATTTACAGGATACAAACAGTAATGTCCTGAGTGGATTGGCAAGTAGTGTGCCAGCCAATGTACACTTTGATGTTCTACTTTATTTTAATTAAATAAATGCAGCCTTGGTGAGCACAACAATTTTTTTTAAACATACCGCCCCCCCAACATTTGAACAGTCCATCCTGTAGCAATTTTAGAAGTGTACATCAAAAGGAACATCTCTTTACAGTAACAGACAGACAATACGAACAGAAAGTTTACCTTAAATTCACTTGGCACTATGAGCTTTGGCGTCTCTACCCCAACAAGAGCGTCGACACCACAGAAGATCAAAATGGCCAGGATAATGGCAAAGTCACTTATGAGCTTCCTCACCTAAAATGACAAAAACAAACAAAAAAGCTTTTTTTAGGATCTATGTAGTGTGCATCACATCAGTAGTCTCTTGCCTCAACAACTCCAGTATTGATTAGGATTGGAAACTGGAATTCTCAAAACAATTTTATACCTGCCCAGTGCCCAAAGTATATGGATTTGAGGCAGGGTTTGGCTAAATATCGATTGCCTCCAGATCGGCAATATGATTAGAGTCACATATTGACAAATCCATCACAAACACGCTACAGATTGAAAGTGTGGCTACTTACAGTAGTAGGAAAGAATGGGCTGGTCTTAAATTTCTTCAGACACATGGAGCAGGTGTATGTGCCAAAGAAAAGGATGAAGGACATGAGGGTGATGTCGGGCACAAAGTCACAGGCTTTGCCCACTAGCTCTCCTCCGTATTTCAGGCATTCCTTCTTTGACAGGGAGGACCAGCTGGCATTCAAGCGCTGCAAAAAATAACATAAAAATAGATGATCAGAATAGCAAACCTACAGATGTCGATTTTTAAAATAAAATTTGAGTTCGTTCACAGAAAATCTTTACATTCCCAAGCTTAGAGACAATTATGTTATGAACAAAGACTGTTAAAGAACATCAAACAGAAACCTCTCTAGTTTCTGTTTTGTTGTCTTCGTCCTTTCTGAAGTTGGACAATGACTCTGTTACTGTTCAAGTTTACACAAAAGGTGCGAAACATGAGCTATGGCTCACTCAGTCACAAAGATGTTGGCATGAAATTGGGCATTATGTTTCATTGACTCAAACTGAGGACTACATCTGAATGAAACCATTGTCATAGAGATCTTTCTTTATTATTCGCAGCTGGGAGATTGGTTAGGGTAGATAGAAGAGGACAAAATGTCAGCCAGGTCGGGAGAAAATGTTTTAGGAAACAGCCAACAATTTAAGGATTAAAAAGGACCACAGTATGCATTTTCTGAACAAAACTAGAACAAGGAAGTTTTCTCTAATGTGTTGTGCAAGTTCTTTTGGGTGACCTCCATGAATGTAACAAGTCTTAAGACTGGAATACAGTACACTACACAAGTTTTGCAGTCTGGAAAAGTCAATGCTAGTCTGCAGATTTTGGACAGATTTCACAGAAAATCGCAATGGGGTGCCTGTTTTTGTGATCCTCAGTCGTTTTACACGGTAACTATTTACAAAGTCGACAAGTGTATAATGCAGAAGAGTCTTAAAATCTATTAAAAAAATGAATTCCAGCCTTTACACACATATTTCAGAGATGTTTTAGGGAAACACTTACTGTATCGCTGTAATTTACAGTCCAGCTAATTGTTGAATCAAGTGCATCAGTGAACACATCTGAAGAATTCCCTGAAAAACACAAAAGGTCAAAGGTTTCAAACGCGCCCTTCAGAAAAGAACCAAAAACATACAGAGGGGCTCAAACATCTGAATCCACTTATAAATAAATAAAAATCCTATTCAAGACTGGTTTTAGGATTTAGAAAAAAATGAACGTTATAAATGTAAAATAAAATGAAAATAATGCAAATCAAAATACATTTTACAAAATGGAAAAGGAAAAAAGTTTGTGTTAGTGGTCTCATTTTTTGGACCCAATTTACCTGTAAAATTTGACCGTAGTAAATTAATAATATATTTCATTTGTACTATTTAGCACTCTTGACTCAAGACTCAGATGATCTCATTTATTTATTTTTATCCTATAGCCACATTAAGCCTCTGAGACAAGTGACTAATACCTCTGAATCATATTCATGAGAATCAGTAGATATAATGCTTTAATGAGATTAATGGCCACTTAAAGGGTTAGTTGACCCAAAAATTAATATTATGTCATTATAAAAATAACAAAAACTACAACTTTATTCAGCATTGCATTGTCTTCCGGTTCTGTTGTCAATCCGTGTTCACAAGACGTTGATGACGTATGACGCTGCTGACGTGTATCTGGTGCGTCTGTATCCGCGCAGCGTCACTGAACGTCGATTGACAACAGAACCGGAAGACAATACAATGCTGAATAAAGTTGTAGTTTTTGTTATTTTTGGACCAAAATGTATTTTTTGATCCTTCAAAACATTCTAACTAACCCACTGATGTCACATGGACTACTTTGATGATGTCTTTATTTCCTTTCTGGACAAGGACAGTATACCGTACATACTTTTTCAATGGAGGGACAGAAAGCTCTCGGGCTAAATCTAAAATATCTTAAACTGTGTTCCGAAGATGAACAGAGGTCTAACAGGCTTAACACGAGGGTGAGTCATTAATGACATAATTTTCATTTTTGGGTGAAATAACACTTTAAACACACATGACAGATAGACGTCACACAAGAAGAAACATTCTGTCGTGGTTGCGGTTAAGTTAAATACAGCATATATGCCCCGCAATGCCCACTGTAAACATTGACCACTTCTCAACAGCATTAATCTTTAAAGAGTCTCTTTGCTGGGTTCCCCTAACTGGAACTAATTTCCACACAGCTGTTGTTCCCTCTGCACCATCGAATTGAAGAGAAGTCAAGGGAGGGCAAAGAGGAGCAAACAGCGGTTTAGAGGAAAGCAGCGTGAGTGAAAGAGAAAACCACCCACCAGCCGGTCTCTGTACAGTCTTAATTCACCACATGCATGGAGGAGATTAACCCCAAACAACATCATGTCCACATCCGCCTCTAGTTCGCTCCCTCATTCCTACTGAGGCCAGCACACACACACACACACACACAGCCACTAGCACAATAAACAGATCTATCATCTGTGAACAACAAGTGAATGTCAACACCATTGCCACACAATATCACACCAACTTCAGAACTTCAAAAACAAAGTTTGTAATTATTCAGTGGTATGCATATCAAACGGCCGAGGAGTGGTCGAGTTCTCAACGCTCCAGCTCCTTGTCGATCCAGGAGTCTGGCAGGACCCGCGCGGGAGCGGATCGCAAGCTGACGTGCCTTCTCTCACATGCCGTTGACTGCCTCGGGCTCAAGTGGTTGCCGCCTAAGGAGCCTGCGCCTAACAGACTCGACGGCGGCTTTTTACAAAGTGCACATCCCGGGCGTCTGGGTGCGGATATGCTCTCATGGGGCAACACTCCCCTAAGCGAGTGGTTCCTAAACCCTCAGACGGTCAGTCTAATATGGGAGACGTTCGGCAAGGCCGACGTCGACCTTTTTGCCTCGAGAGCCAACACCCACTGCAGGGTGTTCTCGAAGAACAGGGACGTACTGGCTCATTCCTGGCCCGTATAAACCTGCTATAATGGTGAATTCGGGGGTCTATATACACTAGGTCACACCCCCTCGGTGGGCTCTGATGTTGGGCAAGCTCATTGGTCGCACGTCAGAGTTGCCCATGCCATTGGATGTGCAGTTGCAGGCTTGAGTAAATCGAGGAAAAGGAGTTACCCCCACTGCGTATAGCTACGCAATACTCGTTCCCTCTCTCAGGGAACTGAGGTTACGATAGTAACCGAGTAGATCTGTTCTGTATGATTGTATTATTAAAAAAACCATGGCAAAATCTTCACACATAGTTAGCGAGGGCTGATCTAGCCAATTATAAGGTTTGTTATTTAAAAGATGATATATAATAGAGAAAAATATTCTGGGGGTTTTTATTATTCTTGTTAATAATTTTAGAATGGAATTGTTGTCGTTCAGAGCACACTTTTTTGTATCTTGCTGAATATGGCTGAATTAAACCAGTATGTCCACTTGCCATTGTGCAGCGTTTATTACAATAAAGTTGACCAAGTGGATCAGGTAGTCCGATTGGACTACCTGCTGTGATTGAGTGGATGCATGGACTAATTTGCATATTCTGCATCTAAATGAAGTAAGGGTGTAGATTTACATTAAGGCTATTTTAAGGCATGAAGAAATTATTTTCAATGGGAGAAAAATACCTTTTAAATATGTAATTTGGGGGATTAAAGATGAATTTAAGGGATACAATGATTGACTACAGGGAGACTTTAAGACAAAACCAAGCCCGTGGGTCTAAACTATCACTTGAAGACCAGAAATAGTACAACAAAAGGAAAAATAAATATTTATGCTGGCCATATTTATAAAACATTTGCCAGATGGACACCTTTCAAAAACAGCTGGATCATAAGCCGGACATAAACATCCATCCCTATCAAACTATTATGCTTCCATTTGTGTATCAGTATAAATTAAGCAAACTTCAATAAAATGTCAATTCATACTAGTAGGTAGCCAAGCAGAGGAATGAAAATATGGTCACTGCATTTGAGTCAATTTTTGGATCCCAACCAAAAGGTCACTTTGTGCTACGTAATATTTGCTTCACTGAGCAAAATAATGTTACATATGCATCAGTAATCTTTTTTTTCTGTTTGGTCAGCACTTATCGTTTCTTGCATCTGGTGGATATATGGGAGGCTTAAGAAGGCGATTAAAAATTTAGCTACCTAAGTTTACAAACTTGCAAATGAATGAAGGTTTAGTCGGTTCAATTTGCATCTTAACATTGAAAGAAGAAAACATCAGATAAATAGAAGTACAAAGTCTCACCATCAGTGGGCGCCATACACATGCAGTCATACTGCGTGACATAATCGATTTTATAGTCTGGGTTGATTGGGTAATAATGGGTAAATTTCAGCATCTTCTTGAAAGCGTCATAGATGAAGATGAAGCTGATAAGTGACGAAAAGCCCTCCTCTGTAAATCGGGTGAAATACTGCACAAGGAAGCTGGCATCAGTTGCCACCAGAATCAGACAGTAGAAGGCCGACCACAGGCCAATCCAAAGACGGAACTCTAGGTAGTCAAATTCATTTTCCCTGCAGAAAAAAAGTATGAATAGAACATTTACTTTTCAAATCATACAGCAATGAAAGAAACTTCATTCTCAAATATATTGTAAAATTTATTCCTTTGGTGGACATCATTATGCATTGAACACTTCAGCGGATGAGGTCGAATGGGGTTTCGCTTAGATCACCTATATGAATGCCAATATAAAACGAGCCAATGGCAAAGAAATGCCATGGGTCTGCGGAATTCGCACGGCATAACTCCGCCTCACCTCGTGGGTATAAAAAGAGGATGCCGGCATAATACAGACATGTCTTCGCTTCGGAGCCAAGTTCATTCTTCGTTCCACAACTTCTTCAGATGAGCGAGATTCCCGGTGTTGGTGTGACGGCGATATTCCTGCGGGTTTGCACTTCCTGCTTATCTGTCCAATGGTTTGCCTGTGAGTGTATTTCTCCCCGGGCGCTTCAGCAAAGAGACTTCCTCTCTAAAAGAGCTTGCACACGGCATGTATTTTTAAAGATGCCTCACCCGTGCACTTCTGAATGTGGCACACTCGTGTCTGACTCTGATGGGCACGAGCGCTGTCTAGTGTGTTTGGGCAGTGATCACGCTAGAGCAGCGCTCGTGGATGACTCATGTTATCTCTAAGGGAACATGACCATTGCATCACTATGGTCGAGATTCAGTGACCTTGCAAGAGTGAGAGTCCCCTCATCCACACCCCGATCTACTTCCTCTAGGATTAGAGCTAGTATACTTCGGCTGGTGACCAGTGTGACCTGAAGGCGGCGACTTCACGTCCGTGCCCTGCACCTACCCCTCCTGTGACGATGCCAGTTAGCGTCCAAGGGATTCCCACGGGCCCATCTTCGGATATACCAAGAGTTTTCTTTGGCTCTACAGAGGATGATGCGATGTCTGTCGCAGCATCACATTTATGGGAAGAAGACTCATTGGTGCTGCCTCCTTCGGGTGTGGAGTTGTTCGTCGAGTCCGACCCCAAGATGACTGCCATGCTTTCCCGGGCTAGATGATTGGTTTTTGGGCACGGCCGCCAATTCACGTCTGCGACCAACCCCAATACCTTTATTCCCAGATGTGCATGATGAGATCTCGAAGACCTGAAAGACCCCCCATGTCTTCCTGTGACCGCTCGTTGATCTCATCCGTCTTTCCTCTCCTCGATGGAGCTGCTGCCTATGGGTACACTGGGGTCCCCATGATTGAACTCTCTGTTGAGATGCAACTGTGTCCACAGAGTGCTTCTTCTTGCAGCGAGCCTAAGCACCCATCCAAAGCCTGTCGGAATTCGTCTATGCTAGTGGCGAAGTCCTACATAGCGGCCGGACAGGCAGCTGCTTCGCTGCATGCTATGGCCATTCTGCAGGTCTACCAGGCCCAGATGCTCAGAGACATGCATGAGGGCAGGACAGACCCACCGCTCTTCGATAAGTTGCTCGCCGCCATCAACCTTGCCCTCCGGGCGACGAAGGTGAACGCACGCTCCCTGAGTTTGGAGACACCTCTGGCTGAACCTGACCGACATGAAGGATGCCGAGCGGTCTCGAATGCTCTGTCCAGTACGCGCCCTCTGCATCTATGTAGACAGTACGCAGTGTTTCAGGACATGTATAGTGAACATGCCATTGCTTTGGCATACCGGCAGCAAGGTCGACCATGCCCCCTTGGTGTGACTGTCCACACCACCCAGAGTGCGGTCTCCTCTTGGACTCTAGCGCATGGCGTCTTGGTAACAGACATCTGTAGAGCTGCAGGCTGGGCCACACCCAACACATTCGCCAGATTCTATAATCTCCAAGTGGAGCCATTTTCCTCTCATGTACTCGTTTCAAATCAGCTAATACCGGACCCGGTCAGGTGTCTTCGCTGGCTCGCCATTCCACTCTACAGACTGGATACGTGCAATATTCTCCTCAGGTGAGCTTCCCCGAAAGCCCCGAGTTCCTCCAGCACTCCTGACGTCGATGCCAGTGTCTATTGCATCCGCGTCGGCTAGGTGCCTCTCATGTGCATGGTCCCATCTCTGAGCGAACCCCAAATGTGTATTTCCGATGTAAGCCTCTCTGAGCAGTTGTCTTTCCATCGGCAAGCCACCTTGCCACCCCATATTCTACCAGCGGCTGGACACTCCAGTGTTTCCCCATATGCATCCCTCTGGGTCATATGTGTATTTCTTAAGTCCAGGGAACTGAGATTTAAGCCCTGAGAGCAGGGATCTCAGATTTACTCAGGAAAGTGGCGTGATTAGACTGGTATCCCCATTCGTCGTCACCCAATGGAACTCAGCCTGACAACGAAAGGGAACGTCTCAGTTACATATGTAACCCTTGTTCCCTGAGTAGGGACGTCTTCCTGCCACTTTCCGCTATGCTGCGGCGATCGCCTGACCTCAGTCTTGGCTCTTCAGCGAAGAAACATGTCTGTATTCTGCCGGCGTCCTCCTTTTTATGTTGATAAAAACTGATAGGCGTTCTAAGCGAAACCCCATTCTTAGTCATTCGACGGAACATCTCCGTTCCCTACTCAGGAAATGAGGGTTACAAACGTAACCGAAATGTTTCAGTCAATTACAAAAAGGTCAGTTAGTTTGTTTACGTTTATTTAGCAGACTCTTTTTTCATAGTGACTTACAAATGAGGAATACAAGCAATTCATCTTAAGCATGAGAAGTGCTAATAATAGTTTTATTCCATTGTTACATTGTTACATTGTGAACAAAGATGATCAAGAACCTGCTGAAGTTGAAGAGCAGCCTTTCAAACACCAGCACTGGCCCCGTACTGCTGAGAATGATCAGCGGTTGCCCAGCTAGGAGACAGAAGATGGCTCCAGAGACCGCTGTACCCAGAAAGCTCTCCAGTACACCCTTTACCCAACACACAATGAAGAAGATTCAAAGGGTTATGGAAAAACCCATCTAAAGCTCAGTCACAATCACATTCCCTGTGAAGAAAGTCTGTTTAAGCATGTTTAAATCCATTTTGGATGGGACAAGCTATTCCCGAGGAGGTTAAAGGAAATTCATCATCGTTCACAGACATACTTTGTGATTTTTACAGAGGACGTGTGAGAAGAAAAAATAAACAAAATAAACAAATAAACAAACTGCTTTTTAGCTAACTCAAAGTTACTCACAGAAATGGCTCAGAATCTATTCTCACTTAATCCTTTAATTAATACTTCCCTTATTTATGTAAATACTGTTAACAAGTCTTATTTCAATTGATTTATTATTCATATCAAGCTAACTTTTTCTACCTTAATTCAACAAACAGATCTTATTACCCATACAATTAATTAACTAATGCACTTTTTAGATCGCATGACCTTCCGAAATGCCCATATCCAGACAATAGACACTCCCTCCTCAGTAATAACTAGCCATGTCCAAATTAGTATATGAATTCACATACTGTACGTCCTGTGAATACGTTTATATCTGAAATCCAAATATTGTTCAGAAGACTAATCCTGGTGAAAAATAGGGTCTATGAGAACTGTAATGAACTGCCATTGAAGAGATGTGACTTCATGTTACAGTTTTCTCTCCAATTTAAAGGGATAGTTCACTTTGAAATTAATTTTTGATACGTTTTAGCTTACCTCAAGGGCATCTAAGATGTAGGTGTCTTTGTTTCCACAGTATTTTCAATTTTTACATTTTTCGGTCAAACCGTTGATGTCTATCAGTCATATAATGTAGGTTTAGGGGGTCCACATAAAAGAGCATGCACAGAGAAGTCAAAATTAAACATGATTTAATGACTCGTACACATTGATGACCTAAGACACAAAACGAGCGGTTTGTGTGAGAAAACGAACAGTATCATACAGTTTTTACCTCGTGGAACCATAGCCATGTCCAACTGATCTGAATCAGTTGTCCAATGTCCAACTGAACCATGTCCAACGTTCGGCCGGAAGTGATCGCTTGTGCGTGTACGTCACTCATTGTTTACACAGAGATTTCGGAAGTTTTACATTTCACTTTGAAGATCTAAACATATTTAGATATACAGGAAACCGCAATGTAAGACGATTTCGATATATATCTAAATATGTTTAGTGAAAGGTAAAACTTCTGTGTCACCACCAAAATCTCTGTGTCATTCACAGGACGAGTCATTAAATCATGTTTAATTTTGACTTCTCTGTGCATGCTCTTTGACGTGTACCCCCTAAACCTGCATTATATGACTGATAGACAACAACGTTTGACCGAAAAATGTCAAAATTGAAAATACTGTGGAAACAAAGACACTTACATCTTGGATGCCCTTGAGGTAAGTTAAAACAAAGTCAACTATCCCTTTAAATCCCAAGTGAATCAGTCATGTTTGTGTTTTTCTCACACAATCAAAATACAAATTACCAGATAATAGCTAACTCGGGCACTCTCTGAGAAATCGAATCCCGTCCAAATGAGAATGTCAGTGATTGTAGTATATTATTACCACTTCATCTGTCTTTTGACCTTTATCAAAAACTGTGACTAAAGTCTGCTACACCCTCATTAAGGATTAAGACCTTTTGTCGAGTAAAATGACAAACAACAGTTTTGACAGTTTGACACAAAAAAGTCCTGTCAACCCATTTGATGTAAATAGAATCAAGTTGTTTCGATACCAATACCAAGTCAAGAATTGCGATTTTGATACTTTTTCAATACTATATTAGATACAAGGCGTTTCACATTAAATAAAAGATCTAGTGCTAAAATCTGTTGTTGTTTTTTTTAAATTAAAGCAGAGTGCACTTTTTCACTGCTATCAGTTGCATCGATGCAGTGTCTTTTACGACTCGCGCAACATCTTCACTCAGACACATGCTTCAATCTATCAAAACACTACCGGCCCACCGGGAAAAGTCCCGACTCTCCAGATTGCCACTCCACTACTGACTGGCAGCCACAGACACAGTATCACTTGTGCTCGCACATGCAACCATCTCACTGTAGTGTTTGTCTCATGACAGCTGCAGCTTCTTTGCAGCGTGCGTGAGGAGAAAAAACACAGACGTCCATGGGGAGGCACTGGAAGCGTGCGTTGCACTCACCAACGTCTCTTGCAAATCTGGAACGTGGTCATTCATAAAAATAGCGATATTAATACATTTAGGAATCGTGACGTTTGAATTTTTTTTTTCAAGTATTTTATTTTAAGTGCACCGTGCAACACTAAAGGGGAGTCTGATCTACTCTGGACTACTCAGAACAGACACTGTAGTCCTCCTCATCTTAATTAGTTTCCTCATTTATTGTTATAATGTATTTAAAAATAAATAGATCCCTCTAAATTGCACCACTTTGCTAGCTGACTTGCTAAGGTGTTTCCCTGAGCTAAAATATTGACTAGCCAACAACATGTGCAGTAGATCTAAGCATTTTTCATGCCAGGGTAGGGTTTTACAGCATTTTTAATGCAGTAGATCTCAGCAAGGGTTCATCATCTGAGAGTCCAAATATTCCTTGATCGTTTGACAGGTAAGAGGTTGGTATACTATAAAAATATCCTGTTTCAAAACTCAAAACTTCCTTCTTAGTCCCAAAATAGCTTTTTATTAAAACCAAGGCCAGAAACAAAAGCCACAGGCTCAGAAAAGTGTGGAATTTTGACATCAAAGGGCAGAGAAAGAGTATCAACGTCACAGTGTCTGAGCCGTTAGTGAATAGTGACATGAGAACTAGGGCTGGGTAACAAATATCGATTTCTCGATATTAATCAATTCTAATTTTTACGAACCGATATCGATTCTTCATTCTCAAGAATCGATTAGTCATCCTGTTTCATTTGAATGAATGGGACATTGTATCGCGGCTGCGTGCATCCAAAAAATCGCAATAATCTTTGTCCTTTGTTACTATTGATATGAAACAAAGTCTCAATTTTCAAATTACATCCATTTTCTTTAGAAATTCAAAAATATAAATACAGTTTTGGCGCTGTGGCGTGAGATCGCTCTGGCGCAGCTCAAGAGAAGCAGCAGCGCTGATCTCTCTTCCGGGTTTATAATACCAGTTACAGCGCCAAATAAACATGAATGAGCATCTGAAAGTGTGTTAAAAGATAGAGTACAACTTATCGAAATCCGTATCATGTCACATTGATTCGCTCAATCAGCGTTTCAACCGTGGAAAGGCGTCAGTTAAACAGCTTGTAATCGAGCATTTTGCTAAATATATACACCATATTACATATGCATTTTAATCTTAATGTTCTTCAATATTTAATGCATGTTTGAATAAATCTGGCAAGTTTTTATGACAGCCACCATTTAAATATTTATATTTCATATAATCTTCTAACTATAAAATAAATAAAAGTGTAATTTAAGTGTTTGTATGGCTATGAAACAGTTCATTATTACCTTCATATTAGGCTAATGAAGTTTATAGGCTACAACTAGACTCCCATAGTTTACAGCATTACTTCAATGATTTGATTTCCTTGAGAAAATTTGCCATTTATTGTAACTGATATCCAAAATAATCAATATTGAATCGAATCGAAATCGAATTGCAAGCTTGTGAATCGAAATCGAATTGAATTGTGAAATTTGTGTCAATACCCAGCCCTGATGAGAACGAGAAAAGATTGAAACAGGATCAACAGCATTAGCATCCAAATGATCCTAATGCTAGGAAAGTGTTTTTTCTCAACTATGTGAAAGTCTCAGAAGTGCAATATTTGTTTGTATTCGGTTCATTTCATTATTTGGTAATTCAGTCACAGGCTTTGGAAACAGACTTTTACGATATGGATCCGTCAGCAACACCACAAACATGCAAGTAAGCATGTTTATTCCAAAGCCTGATCAGTGATAAGTGATTTCTGATGTATAATTACTCAATTTCAGACGGATTTCCTCGGTCTTAAAATCATTTAATACCGTTTCAGCATCAAGCCAGTGACTAAACAATGAACTTGCCAAAACTCCAAGTATGTAATCAATGATGCTGTTACACTGCCCAAAGAAGCTCTTACAGTATTTACATTGTGACTGCATTGTTATTTACGGGGGAAGCATTCATGAAAGTGCAGAAATTGCGCTGCAATGATGAGATCACTGCATTCATGCATTTAACAGACTGTCTGTCTGGTAATAGATCTAAATATAGTACTATAAGCATATTCAACAGCTATAATAGTAAACGTAGAAAAAGAATTTGAGAGGGTTCCACATGTATTACTTATTTCATATGCAAAGATGTCAGCCAATCACAGCACTGAGCATTTCCACTGAAGTCTCACAGCAGACACATCCCTTCAAATGGAGTGTTCAAATCAGAGGCTAAATAGCCATTTATTTCTAAATTGTGACAATTTTATGATGTAAAAATCATATTAACATTAAAATTGTACCTCAGGAAACATTATAAAATAACCCAAAAAATCCAGTTCATGACCCCTTTAAACAGTTAATGTATGAACTGTGAGACTTTAACTAACTAACATGACCTTTGAACTAAAAGTAACAATTCAAAAAGAGGACAGAGAAGAAGGTTCTCCCAGTATGCGTCAGTTAAAGATTGACCAGCACTGAATTACAATCTCTGGCAAGTTTCGACTGATTCTTATTTAGGAATTTTCAGGCACAAAGAGCAAATGGCACATCCATGGCACACAATAAGAAACAAAGTTTCCTATAGTTTGCAATAGAATCTTTACCTGCATGTTCTCTGTGGCGTCACCCAGCAATCCTCCGAATGTGATGGCATTGGTTACTGTTCCCAGGTAGATGAAAAGAATGGCAGACAAAGACTGGATGTGTAATGCATCGTAGAAATCACTGAAGAAAAATGGGGCTTTTCTTTTGATATCAAGAATAAGGCCTCCACAAAACCTGAAGAACAAAATATTATATAGGTCAATTCTTAAACTAAATACTGCACCATATGTTATATGAACAAAGTAATATTTCATTTAGTAGTATTGTAATCAGTATTTTGAATTGGTAACATATATATATATATAAATATATATCAAAAGGATTACTAATAGTACCAGGCAGTAATTTCCCAAAGTTCAAGGTGTTTCCAAAACCAACAGTGGGAATGTACTGTACTAGAAAAATCAAATCTAAGTGCTTGCCTAATATTAAGATAAGTCTAGTCATTTAGAAAGGAGGAAAACAAACCTTTATCTGAACTAAACCATGGTGTTCAGAGAACATAATCTGTTCCTTGAGAAGAATTTATACAAACATTCTACAAACACACTCACTTCCCCGTCTTCTTTAGCTCATCGCCTACTGCGTGCCCCCCGCCCCCGTCTCCACCGCTGTGAGGCGTGTCTCCATTCATCTGTGTGCTGTCCCCTCCAGCATACATGTTCTTTCTGGACAACATAACAAACAAATGGAGATTGTTGAATGTCATTAATGTCCTGAAATAACTTATAGAGGAGGAAAGAAAACAGAGAAGGAAGAAAGATGACAAAAGACACACTCGTGGACTCTTTATAAGTCATTTTAAGGCCCCCAGCCTGAAGTTAAGTCAACTAAACATCCTGCAAGCCAGTACCGTGGTAGCCCACACAACTGTACAATATGAAATAAAAATATAAGATAAAGATGGTAAGACCATGGTAATCTTCAAATTACATCTAAATGCCTTGATACTGTACAGTATATGAATATGGTACGCATCCAATAATCCATATTGTCACGATTAGCCATAAACTCCCTGGATTATCACAGACTACATTGTACCTTCCTGGACTGATTATACCAAACACCATACACGTGCACTGTGCTGCACAGCTGCCAACTCTCACGCATTGGCCGTGAGACACCCGCATTTGATTGGTTTCACACGCTCACACTGCACACCCCACCCCACGGTGTCAACCTGGTCGGTAAAATACCTGTAAGATAAGTTTTTTTTTTAAATATCAACCAATAAATATCAACCTGCCCCGACCATTGCATGTCATCTGGTTTGTCTCTGCCTTTTCTTATTGCCCTGTTTACTGGTGTCGATCCCTGCCTGTCTGACTTCTCTATAAAAGCTGCACATGGATCCCCTTGAGTCTGCTGAATACACATACTGTATGATATGAATCATTTAAACCAAGAAAAGATATCGAACGAAAGGACGATAAACTGATAAAATGATCAAACAATAGATAGAATGACAAAACAACAGATAAAAATGAGATAAAGACAGAGAGCGATTGAACAATAGATAAAACAAACAGACAGAAAAAATATTAAACATGAAATAAAGTAATAAACAATTTACAACAGACAGACTGATGAAAATTATAAAAAGAAATAAAAAGAATAAGGACTAAGCAATAGATAAAATGATAGATGATAGACCAAGCAAAGAACAAGCTAAAGTGATGGATGGATGTTTTATGAACGACAGACAGACAGTACAGTAAGTGAAGTAATTCATACTGTTGTTTACATTCAACAACCCGTGAATGCATGTACGAGGACTGGTGTGTGTAATGTGTTGTGTACACTGTGTGTGATGCTGGTGTGACTGCATTCTGCTGGCACACAGCTCTCCTTTTTGTATTCAGGTGGCAGGATAAAACGGCAGCCTGCTGTCACTTCACCTGAAGCCAAAAAGAGGTGACGTACTTCATCTAATTAACCGCTGCTCTACCCTTTCTGAATGAATGAATGAATGAGTGGCCTTAGTTCGCACAGACCTGCCTGGCTGGCATTTGAAACTACTTCCTGACCATGTCTTTTATATATATATATATATATATACACCTAAAGGATTATTAGGAACACCACATAAATACTGTGTGTGACCTTTCGCCTTCAGAACTGCCTTATTCTGTGGCATTAATTCAACAAGGTGCTGAAAGCATTCTTTAGAAATGTTGGCCCATATTAATAGGATAGCATCTCGCAGTTTAAACGATGCCCAATTGGCACTAAGGGGCCTAAAGTGTGCCAAGAAAACATCCAATATATATACAGTATATGACATAAAATTGACAAGCTCAGATATTATACATGACCATCATTCAAATCCACAAGTCAAAATAGGAACATTGACAGAACCTTTTATCTGAGGATGGCAGGGATTTGGGAGGCTCTATCCTGATGGCAGGGTCCCATTCTCCAGGAGGAAGGACAATGACCTCATCCAAGAACTCATCAATGCCAGCAAGAAGATCTTGTCTGTCCTTGGCTTTGTATGCAATTTCATGGAAGACCTTGATAAGAGAACAGTGATTACTGGCTAACTTTCCCAACACAATCTAATCAAACTAATTCAAACACAATCAGTTTTTTTTTTTTTCAGGCACAGCTGCACAGTATCAGAACAGGTAGGCTATGTTCATACAGTCAGTGTTTAGGATTGACAAATTTATTTACAAATAGGTGTGATTATTAAATTGTCCTGTTCATCATACAGCAGTTGAGATGAGAAAAAAGCAGCCCTGAGCAACATATAATCTGTGTACCAAACTCTAAAAATGTGAGAGAAATTAAATGTTTAAGTTGAAAAACTAAATTATTAAGACTAAATCTGAAACAAAAATAAATCTGAGCTAAATAGAAAAAAATAAATAAAAAAATACAGAAAATGACAAAAACAATAATTACTAACACTTAATCTAAAAAAAAAAATTAAATATAGTAACAGTAAATTTATAACACAAGTTCTGTTACAGAATGTAGTAGTTCATAAGCAAACAAGAATGAACGCAACAATATAAAACAGGATTGAAACAGTTCTCGGCTAAGATTAGACTCTGTACCTCATCAGACATCAGGGTAGCGATTGCTCTACCAATTTCATGGTATGACTTGGCTTTGCCTTTGGGTCCAAGCAAAATGAACAGAAATCTGGGGACACAAAGACAATACCAAATATTAACACACTTGGTGAAAAACATACACATTTAATAAAAGCTTTGAATTTTAACTGAGTACCCCTTTACCACTACGTTTACTTCCCTCCTTGGCCTTGTGGAGGGATGAAAGCAGGTCATACCTGGTGGGCACAGGCACTTCAGTCAGCGCCCCCAACATGACTGCCTGCTGCAGCCTCACAAAGGCCACAAAAGGACTGTCCAGGAAGTCCACTTCTCCAACGAGAACATTGGAAGCTTCAGCATCTCTGGGCAGCTTCTTCATAAACTTGTTCTTCAGCTGGAAGCATGCAGTTCGAAAAGAAAGAAGAAATGGATAAACGAAGTACACAAATCAAGCCCTAACACATGACCTCATTAAACATATTGCCCGGCTGGCATTTTGTATCAAGAGTTGCCTGAGGCGAGATGGGATGAATCCAACAGCCGCAATTGTCCAACTAATGGAAACAACAAAGATTGGTGGTGGTATGTAGGATGGTTCATTCTAGGGTTCAGCGAAGGCCCACTGTGACTCCTGCATTCCTTTGCTCTAAATTCAGAGGAACCAGTGGTAACCAGTATAAGGAACTGTTAAATTAATTTTATTTATATGCGAAGGTGTTGTTCCTACCAGTGATAAAATGAAGGCCAACTTCAAAGCAGTGGCATCTGCCAGCTCAGTCTTTAAAGTCATGCCAAATGTGAAATTTACAAGCCAAAGATAATTAGCACACCCTGCTCACATAGCCACCAATCGTTAAGCAACTGTAACTGGTGCCGCAAAGGTCATTTATGACCTATCTATTATTATTGTAATAGCTAAATGTGTTCACAATTACTCAAGCTTATTGTGTATAAGAACTTTTATTTGTTTATTACTTCCAAAAATGTAAACTCTCATTATTCTTTAACAGTAAGACTAGCACACATGGTAGACATCCATTGACATGTTAACTAGGAAGCTCATAAATCAGATTTGACAGCTCTGCTGATAAACTGAAGATGAGGTTCCAGACAGTGTCAGTCATTCATAAACCAGTTGCCCAGTATCTTGCCAAAACATAAACAAAAATATTATCTCCTGAAAGTCTTATTTAACAGGCAGAGTAAGCAGTTTAGTTAACAATTGACAGAACAAAACTTCTAGCAAGCACAATGGAAAACATTTAACCTGGAACACTTGAGCACATGACAAGACAGACCTCTCACTCATCAAAGTCAGCATATGAACTACAACGTTTGAGTGATTTTAACGGCCCCTTACTGTGAAACACTAAAGCAAGATAGTCATTCACGTTTGGCACATGAGGGTGAGTAAAATAAGACATTTTGGGTGAACTATACCATTAACACAGACTTTGCTTGGATAAAGAAAGAAAACTGAGACGAAAGAAGCAGCCCAACATGATTATTCCTGCTTCGTGGGAATAACCCTTGAAGAAACTCGATTCATCATGCTCATGCTCATTCTTAATTATCTGGGAATTTAGAAAGCAAAGCCACCATGGAGTAATAAAAATGATCTTAACCATGAATGAAACAAAAACAAGTGAGTAAGCAATGGCCATAGATGGAGACGAGTGATGTCACTGATGTTAACTGGAGGCCAGATTGTAGACAGCATTACAGACGAGTGTAAAGGGATGATTAAGGTATTAAAAGGACACACCTTAAACAACCCATTGTGGTTTTTTTTTTCTCAGACTTATAAGAATGTTTACTTCAGAGCTTCGTTCAGTGTAATATGTAGGAGTCAAAGAAGGGTCGGCAGATGGTCACTTCAGCAGCACATTATGCTGAATACAACGCCATACAAAGCTGTAACAAAATCTTGTCCACTTTTTCTACATTGCATGCATCACATATTAAATGGAACTTCTGACCTTTCAATACATCACAAACCCCAATCAATTTCCATTAAAATCAAATATTACATCTCTACCCTATAAAAAAAAAACATACTGACATAATGTTTGAGGATTATTGATATAAATATTTCAATTAAACTTTATTTGGAGTACTTCTGTATATGCACATTCCATAATATTAAGCCTAAAATGTCTTTTAATGTCACTCTTACTGTAGTAATATAAGGTTAGAATGACCTCAGTACAGTTAGGTCAGTCTATAAATTTAAGATATTTAAACAGTACAAAGTATACTTGCAATAGCTCCATTTTAGCACATATCTTTAGTTGGATTGCAGCACTATTTCCATATAACTAAAGTGCATTAAGTAAAAAATGAGTTGTTCCAATTTAGCAGATTTTAGTTTAGTATACCAAAGGTACAATTGTATGGTATTTACATTAAGAACATAATATGTAAATGTATTTGTAGTAGACTTAGCATAACATAAATGTATTTCAAATATTTTTTTTGTATATTTATTTTTCACAAGGATATCGGAGCTCTCCAGCTCTCTGGCAGGTAGTACGGCATGGAAAGGCTTAGCATCATCTCTGATACTGGAGCAAGCAATGCTTTATTTCATCAGTCTGTCAACACGGTCTGACAGGCAGCATTTTATGTAGTCAAGCCATTGAACTGATGACTTCCTGTTGAAGCTATCGTAAATGAAATGCTGCAACCAAAAGCTTGGCAAATATGTTTAAATGAATGGTTTAACGTTTAAAAAGTTTTTAATACTGTTTTTGTCATATTCCCATCCCTCTTAATAAAATGTAATAAAACAATTTTTGTCAAGACTTGAAAGACTAATAAATCCATGGTCCTTCCTTAGGGGGGCGCTCTCTCTGAGGAAAAAAAAGTCAAGTACTTTTGTCCTACATTACAGAAAGAAGCCATGGGATATGGATATTAAAGTTAGCTCAATTTAGAACAGCAAACAATTATTCATTATACAAAGGGCAAAATAATTCATCACTCTAAACCACTATACCAAATCACTCAAAAATACTTAATTTTCATCATTTCCAGATTCTGTGAATGTCTAATCTCAGAAACCAGGAATGACGTCATAAAAAAAATAAAAAGAGGCTAAAGTGTAACAAGCCACAAGGCTTTCACAGTGCATGACACAAAGCCGAGCCACCCCTCAATCTGTGCTTACAATCGCAATCTGTCCATGTGTCTGGCCCCCCTCACGCTAACAGCCTCTCAATCCCCTACTCTGTCACAAGGAGCAAGGGCCATCTCCTAAGAGTGTCAACAAAGGAGGCCAGAGGAGTAATCACATTCACACTAGTATTTTCTGCCTGAAGCACAGAAAACACTGTCAAAAATGTGTCAGCTATTGCACATAATGCTGCGTTCAGCAAGAACGGATGCATTCCCAAGTAAAAAGGGACGATTCTACAATTCCTCTAAGGTGAACTTCGGTGAAGTGAGTTAATTTTTATGGGTTGTCACAGATTGACACCACCCTTATGACCTCTTGGTGCTCCCAAAATGAGAGACCAACTTCCCTGTCTGTAATTCCCACCAGCTATATCCTTGAATTACAAAGTCCACTGCTTTTGGTCTGCTGTGCATGTAACCACAATGTCCTATTTTATGATTAGAAAAAAAAAAAAAACATAAAAAAATAAAAAAAAAGACTGTTTATGTGCAAAGGTTTTTGGCAATCCAAATTTACAGATACTATATATTCCATCTTTATTTTTACATCTGAGTATAAAAAAATAAAATAAAATAACATTTTCTTTATGCTGTTTAATGTATAAAAGAAGACTCTTATGCTCAAGGCTGCATTTATTTAATGATAAATAGTCAAAACTGTAATATTGTTGGTTAGTTAACATTAGTTAACTTTAGTTATTACACAGCTCCGTGGAATACTTGATTCTGATTAGACAATTGGTTATCCAGCTGCATGTTATTCCCCAAAAACAACAGCTGAAAACAGATAACGCAGGCTCATCCAGGAAGTTTAGCATTCGGTGAACTAATAAAATAGTAAGACTCAGTCAAATCAATATATTTTTTAATATTTTGTGTACAGTTATTTAATTGTCATACAGTATTGTGGATTCACTCTCATTTGTTTCATACAAACATAGCTTCTGCCATTCAAGCAGGATAAATGTACATCCAGCAGGTTGTTATTTTAGAATAAACCCCTTTCAGGCTGATGTGGGGTCCTGGGTCCTGATCACCCTGTCTGTGTTTATTCTGACATAACAACCAGCTGGATAAATATTGTAAGAAAAATATTGCCCATTATTAGTTCATGTTAGTTAATACATTGACTGATGTTAACAAATTAGACCTTATTGTAAAGTTTAACCAACGTTTCTTAAAATTACTAATGTTAAAAACTCTCACGTGGCTTCATATTTTTGTAGAAACAAATGATTTACTTTCCTCCTTGATTTACTTACTCTGAAGCCATACTTTGTCATACTCATATTCTAGTCAGAATGTGAGTCTGATACTGCTCCATTGGGCTTTGATTATGAGGCGTGTCTTAACCGAATCAGGACAAAAAACAAACAAACTCTGCACTCAATTGGATAGACTTATAACCAATTGAAGCAAAGGTAAGCTACGCATAGTTGTCAACAGAACTCAACTGCACGTACGCTGGAAGAAGTAGTAACATAATGAGTGTTGCTTCTTTTACTTGGTCCTCCATGAGTGCGACCAAAGGAGAAACCACAACGACCACAGGGTTTTCATTGCATCCCATCTTCTTAGCGACCATCGGAGCCAACAGATAAATGAAACTTTTGCCGAATCCCGTAGGAAGGACGGCAGACAAATCTTTCCGATCGACAAATGCCTTAATTGCCGTTCTCTATTCGTCTTTTAAAATTAATGCACTGTCGATTCGTCTTTTACAACAGACATGATAGCAGAATCTATACATTTCAATTCTTTAGCTGCAGTCAACTTGATGGTAGATGATTATGTAACTGCCGATCATCTGTCCATCATCGTATTAAGCCCGCCCTGGCAATTTGATTGGCCCAACGATTTCTGAACCAATCATAATTACTCCTCAATGGATCAAGTCCAAACTAAACTGCCCGGCCAAAAAATTTTGCGTTCGGGCTGGCATCCAGGCTACATACTAGGTGTATATGGCATTCTTCTTTCAGACAAATACAATCAGAGTTATAATAAAAAAATGTCCTGGCTCTTAAAATCCTTATAATGGGAGTCAATGGGTACATTTTTTTGGAAGTCAATCAAAGTGCATCCATCTGTGATTAAACTGCTCGACACGGCTCTGTGGGGGTTAATAAAGGTCTTCTGAAAATAAGCGATGTGTTTGTGTAAGAAAAATATCCGTATTTAAAAATGTATCAACTAAAATAACTAGCTTCGGGCAGACGGTCGTACGCAAGTTGACCTACGCTAAAACAGTAACACTTAACGATGCATGATGTAGGAGTAGCGTAAGCTTTGACACCTCTAGTAGTTCAAACCATAGGTTCAAACAAACTGGGCAGCCAAGTTCAAGGGTTACTCTTTTGGCATAAGTTGACTTGCGTATGGCTGTCTGCCGGAAGCTAGTTATTTTAGATGATAAAGTTTAAAATATGGATATTTTTCTTAAACGAATGCATCACTTCAATTCAGAAGGCCTTTATTACCACTCCCGGAACTGTTTCGAGCAATTTTATCACAGATGGATAGGATTTGATAGCCTGGCTACGCCCTCCTACGCACATTCCGCTCAATTTCATTTTCCTACAGTACTACGTCTGGGACTGCTGTATATTCTTAGTTTTCCAGAAATCAGTTTTTTTTTTTTTTAGAACCATTCAGCGAATAGAGGGAGTGGCTGAGAACGATGATGTTGATATAGTGCGTCAGTTTGAGTTGGAGTTCAGTAATGGCAGCGGAGAAAGACCTGAGAAAAGCTATTCGGTCCGTTGTTGGAAAACTGCCGAATATACAGAATTTAAAGCCGGAGCAAGAACAAGTTTGCTAAGTTTTGTAGGTGGCCATGATGTTGTGGCCCGCCTCCCAATGGGGTTTGGGAAAAGTTTGATTTTCCAGCTCACTCCGCTAGTGGTGAACGAGTTAGCTAAGGCGAACGATAGGGATGCAAAGCCGATAGGTGTTGTTGTCAACCCTCTTGTTGCAGTAATGGAGTACCAAGTGAAGGAGGCAAAAAAGTTAGGAGTTCGTGCTGGGCAGCTCGGCGTGCGCGACGACCGTGACATTTTGGGTGGACACTTTAGCCTGGTGTTTGGAAGCCCCGAGTCCTGGCTGCTAAACTGTTGTTGAAGATGCACTCAGGAGTCATATCAGTGGCTCAGATTCTAAACAGTACATTTAGTTATTCTTGTGATGAATAGAACACTTTGTGTACTCGTGCAGGAGCATGGTTGGTGTGTTAGTTTTTCATGTTGTAAATCATTAAAATTTGTTGTAATTTAAAAAAATAAATAAATGTCATGAATAAAAATGTGAACATAATTTGAGTTTCTGTTTTAGATGAACAAAACCTGCAGCTCTCGTAGACAGACATCTTATTGTAAACATAATCCTAAGATTATTCGGACTTCTTGTTTCCAGCGCATGACATACGTCACGACCAGACGTTAGCGATTGGCTATGGCAGATTCTGAGTGACTCTAGGCAGATCCAATATTTCTGAACTTCGAAAGAGAACCTACCTACAAGGAAGTAAACGTTTCTCAATGGAGAGCGGCCAGACTCTCTGTACAAATGAAATGTACGAGAGTCTGGTTGAACCAGGCTAAGGATTTGATGGACTTCCGACAAAATATACCCATTGTCTCCCATTATAAGGATTGGAAGAGGCTGGACATTTTTTTTTTATATAACTACAATTGTATTCGTCTGAAAGAAGAATGTTATAGACACCTAGGATGGCTTTAGGGTGAGTAAATCATGGGCTAATTTTCATTTTTGGGTGAACTATCCCTTTAAGCAGAGGTCACTTGGCAATATAAATTTGACTCACCTGGTCTTTCTCTGGCTTGTCTGAGATATCATTCAAGCTGCTTGATGTCAAGTTGCGATGTGTAGTGGTTGGGCTACCTGAGAAAGACAATGGTTCAATAAAAAAGACCCAAATTAAAAGGGAACCGTTCCATTATTTTAAAAACAAACATTAAAATAGGTCAACAGAAAAACCCAAAAGCAGAATGAGCAAGAGCATTTTGTATGTCAGAATAAACTAATGGGGAACTAATGGGACTGACAACACTTTCCAGAATATGAATATTTTATAGGCTCCGAATTCCTTTAGTCCATAGAATAAAATAAATTAGCAAAGGTGATGTGCCAGGAGAGAAAGGGATCTACTGAAAGGTTAACTATTAACCTTTCAGAGCCCAGGTCATTGCAATCATGCTGTGAACAGCATGCAGGAGAACAGGACAAGCACAGTGAAGCAAAGACTTTTAAAATGTCACAGAAAACCTGTCAGCACTATTACTGACCAGGATTATTGTGCTATAATGAATAAGATGTCAGTTTGATGCAGCCAAAAGAAGAAGAAAAACGTAGCCAAAAAAAAAAAAGTTACGAATCACTTACAAATAAAGAATGGTACATTGAAGAAAAGTAAAAAGAAGAGATTTCACATCCACCTTCATGAATCATACATTATCTGATCAGAGCTGTTAAATAATAAGGTTATAGTCATGATGACATGATGATTTCCAGTGGAAAGTTCCACATAAATGAGTCCAATGTGATTATTAAAAGAATGCGCCATTAAAATCTATTAAGGGTGAGGAATCAAAAATGAATCTTCTATGGCATCGCTGAGAAGATTCACTGTTGAATGAAGAGTTCAATGAACTCTTCAAAAGATCTAAGCAGATCTGACCCTTTTAATCTACCAAGGTATGCTATTCTATCACATCAATGTTAAGCCCAAAGTATACTCCAGTTTATTACTGTGGAGGCTAGTGTATAAGAGTACAGCCAAATACATAGCCTTTAATGTATACTCCATTTAACAGTGTAAGCGAACACAGGTGGTCAAACTCATGCGCACTAGAAAGTTTAGTCCTTGTCTGGTGTCCGATGAAATGTCTCTGTATTCTTTAAAACTAAAGTTGTGGGTTTCTTTTAAGCTCCTCACACAAGCACTCATCAACGCAGCCATCTATTGGTGTTTGCCATTTTGAGTAGTTTGTTGTTGTTCCGTCTCATCGAGTTCTTTTTCAACTGTGAAGAAATAGGGCAGGGTAGAGTTGCCATCTTGTGGATAAAATCATTTGTCCTATTCTGATGATGCAATTCACACCATGTGAACTATACGCATACCCTACTTAAGTATACTTTGGACTTAACACACTATGTGAGGTGAGACACACACACATTGGCAACTGGTTAGTTGAAACTTACTAGGCCATCCCATGCTTGGACTTCCAGGGACTCGCAACACCTCCTCGGATGTGCGAGTCATTAGACAAGGCACTGAACTCTCAAGTGGATTACGTGCTTTTAGTGACAAGTGCAGCAGGGTATCCAGAGGAAAAAAGATGGTAAGAAGGGTGAAAAGAAAGATTGTTAAGGTAATAGAGGTCATGCCAGTGGTTATAGGTGTAAAGTTTAGCAAGTTTTGTAAAAGATTGTGTGAGACTGCAGTAAAATCTCACACATTGCTCAGAAAAAGAGAAGGTAGAAAAGAAACATTTGTTAAGAAGGTAGGGAAGTTAAGGGAATATAAAAGTTCAAGGGAATAACATTTGTCACCTTCAAACAGTCCATTGGTCAATGAATCACAGGATTCATGGTATAAAACCTAGGGGTCGACTGATGTGTTATTTTCAGGGCCGATGCTAATACCGATTATTACAGATCAAATAGACAGATAACTGATATTTTGAACCCATATGTCAGGTGTAAAAATGTAAATTAATGTCAAAATTAAGAATAACAAATGATTTTGACAAACACTTTCTTTAAATGACTTTAAATATATCTTTGAATCTGAGAACTGTTATTAATAATAATAAAATAACTTAAAAAGTGCTGGGAGTACCCAGCAGTATTTTGTAAAACTTAAAGACTCTATTTTAATTTAAATTTTAGTAATCAAAAAGCAGTTCTAATTAATTGAAATCATCAAACTTATTCAATTTATTTACAGTTTAACAAAAATGACATTTTTAGGGCCCTATGAAAAACCTAACTTTTATTTTGACAGGTTGCTGTGGAGATCTTTGAGTTTCTGTGTGTTTATGATATGATATGATGATAACTTTTATCAGTTAAATCATTAAAATGCTTGTGAAGTGACTAAGCAACTCTGGAGATGATCTTTAAGCAATCATGTCCTCATATAATGATGCGGCTGATGCTGAAAACAGTGCAAGCATCACGCATGCTCCAGTGTGTGTGTGTGGTAAATCAAATCACGCATCTGCGCCATTCGTATTTATATAGTATTTTTGCGGTTTGAAATTCTATTTGATTTGCACTGACCTGCTTTTAATCAAAAAGTTGACAAATTCCGTGATATTCCGTAAAGTACAGAATTTAATACAGTAAATTACATTTTTATGACTGGATTTCGTCAGTTTTCTGCATCGCAGAAATCACAGGGCTCTATTATATTGGGGTATTTTTCAACTTCAGTGTAGTCATTTATTGCTTCTTCAGCAAATTCTGCTGCTGCCTTAATTTTGAGAGACAACTGATGATCAGTGAAGCAGCTCCAGTCAGCCAGTGCTTTCGGTGTGAGAGTGCAAAGCTTTCATTAGTCTAGTCTACAGAGTGGCGAGTTCTGACAGATGTGGCTGCATTAGAGCCAAATATAGTTCATTTTAAAATAAAATTATTCTATCGGCAAATCGGTTTTGAAAATTGCCGATACCAAGAACCATAAAGCATGCTTAATATCGGCTGATAATCGGTTGACCCTGTGAATTTGTAGCCTGACCATGAATCATGATGTTTGTGTATTTTTTTTATCTATCAATGAATTTGAATATTACTGCCAAAAATCAAATGATCCTCTTGACCATTATTTGAAGTGTTGTATCATCTTATATTTCTCATTAGATTAGTTTATTAGATTAGATCTCAGATTAGTTTACGGTTTAGATTCTCAAAAATGTAACGCAATGTTCAGCATATTGTGTGCAATGTGCATCATTGAAAAACATGGAGACAGAGACAGGACAGACTAAATAATATCAAGGACTGAAAAGGAACGAGTTACTATTTAAAGACCCCATGAACTTATTCCATGTCTACTAGCTTTGTCTATTTGTGTTTGTACTCTTTAAAAGCCAAAACTGATCTTTAACAGATATTGATAAGTCATCCTTACCAACACAGTTTTTTGTCCAATAAAACACTCTCCAGAATGAGAACGCCCCTACCCCCAATTCGACCTGTACCTGACTAGCAAGTGGTAAATACTTGATTTGTGATTTTGTAGAAACTGTGATACTTTTTTCAGGATCCTTTGATGAATATATCAATATAAGTTCAAAAGAACAGAATTTACTAAAAAAATATAAATTTTTTGTATCTTAAATCCCCTTACACTCTGGATCATATAAATGCATCCCTGCTAAATGAAAGTATTAATTTCTTTCAAAATACAAAATAAATAAATAAAACTTTTGACTGGTCATCACAATTTCAAGTGATTCCATGGAGTCTTTAAAACATGGAGACAACTACTTAATCAAATAAGCAAAATTAGTAAAAAAATTCATTAGAAACACATTTTTTAATATTTGAAAACTATGTGACAGATGCTATCAAATCTGTAAAAGGTTGTGATGCAAATCTTCAAAATAAAGTAAAATGAATAAAACTAAAAAAAATGGTTTTATGGTTCTTCAATTATCTTTGTGAATAACACAATAAAATTCAAAACACAAAATCAAAAAAGGCAAAAATACTTTAAAAAAAATACTAAGTGTTAAGAAAACAATCCACAAAATCCGTGAATAAAAAAAAATGTCAAAAAAAGATTGAAAAGAAATAGGAGGAATAACTGCACCAAACTGGCACCCATATTACCATTATCCGGGGTGGAAAACAGCCTACTTGCACTGGAGACCGTCTTGCCAATGTCAGCCAAAGAGCGAAGATTGGACTTCTTAGTCTGGTGCCGATGCTTCCTCAGCAAGGTGTACATGACCTTATCTTTCAAGTCAGCTTTCAAGAGACCATTCTCAATTTGACTGTCAGTGATCATTTCTGAAAGAAACAGAGTGAATAGAAAACAGAGACAGGTAGACCATGAGAAAGCTAAATGAGGGTTAGAGGAGACCTGCCTAATGGTTATTTCACTTCTACAGATTTTGAGGAGCTCATTGCACAACAGAGCAATTTTCTTTAATTTAAATATCAACTTTACATAACGCTCTTCTTAAAACTTTTAACTAGAACTTGAAATTGAACTCTCTGAAGGAACTTGAAGTCAGTGTCAGTGAAGCGACACATTGCGTTCTATTCTTAGCCTTTAGAAGTGGACTTCTAATGAGGCAGTGGCTTGTGCATAAGATTGTCTGGTGGTTCCTGTAAGCATCTATTTTTATAAAAGAGGGTCAAAGACACGAGGCCTGAGCCCTCGGGCTCTTTTTGTGAATGGTTTGGCCCTTAATGGCTGATCCTTCAATTCATTTTTATCTCAAAAGGCGCTCTATGAGGTTGACTGAGCTTAACTCAGCCAAACTTAAGATTTACTGCAAATTGATAATAGGACTTGACACATCATGCTCTGAGTAAGAGATACGGGTATGAGATTCAAGAATGTGAATTAATAAATCTCACGTGATTGGAGGCAGTGGTTACAATCTCTAACCAGCCATCTTAATTCCAGATAGCTGCAGTAAATGACTAATTATTTTTTTTCAATCAATCCTCTAAGGAAGCTCTTATGAAAACATGACCAGATTCACATACTTGCTAACAGTTCACTAGCGTTGCTTAATGGCCACACAATTTTCAACCTGATCTTCCTCACGCTCTGTCAGAAATCAGTATAAAAGAAATGGCTGCCCTGAATGGATGCAACCACCCATGCATCTGAACCCAGAGTTACAGCGGAGGTTGAGAGAGGAGTGAATTAAACAGAGCAATGAATGCATCCTGACATGTGAAAAAAATGTCATGGAAAAGCGAATAAATAGATTGGCTGTGCTGGCCGAGACAGTAAATGCACATTACACGTGCTATATCTCAGTTCGTACAGTACATTTGGAAAAGCTTTTTTAACTCTGAGTCTGATCTGATCTCAAGTGTTGTCTTTATGATCTTTCTTTTGCCCTTTGTCCACTGACAGGGTGCCAGTGTTGGTGCCAAAGATTTTGCCCTACAAGAAACCATTCACTACCGAAAAAGCAGCTCAAAATGTTATCATAATGTTAAATTATCTTTCAGCCCTATATGTACCTTGTCTGTCTAAAATAAAATGATAGTCATATACATAAACATCACATGTGAACAGACTTCAATACATTTTAATTTATTGAATCTAGGTTGAATCAAAAGCTGTTTGTGATGAAGAAACTGAAGTGAATTATTTTGGAGGTAATAAAAAGTCAAAGAAAATATTTGTTTTCAAAATTCGTAATGTAATCAATTATGTCATTGTTCTGCTCTTAAATCAGTGAGTCACTCAATTTGAGTTCACATTGATTCCATTTTGCTGGGAAAAGGGTATTTGAGTGCCATAGAGACTTTACATTTTTAATCAGAGCATCCACAACATTCAATGTTAATTATCCTCTGACTAAGCAGGACAGTCAAAGCACAAAATGTCTGCAAAGGAAAAGCTTACCAACGACCCCTGGCAGTGTGGAGGCCTCTAGGTCCAGCATGATGGTGCCCTTCTCTATACACGTTCTAAGTTCAAAGAGACTATGTAGGGACAGAGTGGCTACATGTGGTTTACTCCATCGCTCCCCACCTTTCTCCACCTTCTCTTCAAATTTGATCCACCTTAGTAGAAGAAACAACAACAGAGACTTGAAGGTAATGGAGCTCAAATCAAGTCTCATGTGAACAGTTCTGTATGAAAGTGCAATGCGGAAGTAAACTGATCATTGATTGAAAATGTATTTGGTGCTAAATAAGTAACATTTCTTTTTATTATTATCAGTTGAAAACGGTTGTCATTTTAATATTTTTGTGGATACTGAGATACAGAGACATTTTTCGGGATTCTTTGATGAATAGAAATTTTAAAACAACAACGTTCAATTTAATGCATCCTTGCTGAATAATAGTATTAAATGTCCCATGACACGGGTTATTATATTATTTTATAATGTTTCCTGGGTTGCCCTTATAAGGTTAGTATGTTTTTTTAGATCAAAAATAGTCATAATTTAGAAATAAAAGGCATTTTTCCTAGCCTGATTTTAGCGTCTGATTTGAACGCTCTGTTTGAAAGGAGTAACTGACCACTGCTGTGATTGGCTGACATGCTTGCATATGAAATAGTTACGTATTACATGTGAAACTCTCTTGAAATTTGTTGACATTTTAAATAAGATTATTTTCATCCTACTAAAAGAAACTATGTGAAGTTTATTTTTTAGTCACTGGCTTGACTTATGCATAAACATTATTAAAAGATTTTGAGAGAAAGATTACCTGTCTGAACTTGAACAATACTATTAGGCTACACATCAGAAATTGTTGCTTGGTAGCTCGATTGATTTATTTTCAGACATTCATCGAAGCCAGCTTTGTATTGGCCCAAGTTGAGGAAACAGTCGTCGGTGAAATTTTTGGACCATTCAAAACTTTGGGAAGTTGTGTCGGTGCATTTCCAGAAAAAAATTAAACAAACCCATTGTTCCTTCAAAGGATCGGAAGAAGGAACTAATAACTGCCATGCTTCGCTTGTTTGCAAGCCTTGATATCTCTCGAGGAAAAAATAAAATTCCGCTCATGCGTTCATAATTTCTAGCTCATTTTCTCATGGGCAGGCAAAGCATCTAAAGGGGAGGTTACCTTTCCTCCGTATGACGTCATATGGAGGAGATTCAAGATCCCCCTGTCTGAGCTTTCGTTTTTTCAAAGGCATAGATAACCAAATCTCAGTTTACACCGATTGAAAGTGAAAATTTCATGGGATGTCATGGGACCTTTAAAAGAAAAACATTCAAATCAATTAATAAAAAAATAAAATCAAATAAAAATAGTGAAAACAGACAAGGAACACCTGTATGCCCTCATCACAGGTTGATCAGCCCCAGCCATGCTCCATCAAGCAAACAGCTACATAAGCCACATGAACTTTGTCAAATGGAGAGAGATCTCTGTACGAGACTCTCTGAATAAATGCACTCTTGGGCACTTTGCATGAGCTCCCCTTGTTGTGTGATTCTTCACCCCGTGATATTTGGTGGAGAATGCGGGCAAGAAAGTGAAGAAAAAATAAAACAAAACAAAAATATCACAGACAAGCGAGCTCCTGCACATCTCATAGTTTTTTGTTTGTTTTTCCTCCCTCTCCCGGTTCTGCCAAAGGCACGTAATCCAGCCCCAACATGAAGGAACTTCTCAACTGGCTCACTGAGGTTAGCATCCGCCAGCAGTGAATAGTTAAGCATCTCGCCAGGAGGAGAGCGAGAGGGAATTCGCAGCAATGCATGCCGCTCAATGCGTCCCACAGCCGGACCCCCAAACTCAAGCCGCCAAGTTGTTACCGAAGATGACCCCCCACGATGACATAGAAGCGTACCTACAGATGTTTGAAGTCACAGCCACCACTGATGGTTGGCACAGGTCAATGACGTCATATGGAGGATTGGGCACAGGTCAATCTCTCCTAACTGGTGTAGCACAGCGCACATAATTTTCTCTCCCCGGGAATTAAAGCAGGAAATTCTGGCCCGCCTGGGATTGTCTCCAGTATGCGCTGCTCAATTCTTCTTTGATTGGGAGTATAAGCCCCATCGACCGGCCTGTCCCCAGGCAGCAGAACTCAAGAGGTTCATGCAGCACTGGCAGCTGGAGGGGGTTGCAACTGCCAGCCAAGTGGCATAATGCGTTGTCATCGACTGACTGCTTCGTGCTCTTCCCCGTTCACACCAACAGGCAGTCGGGATGAGAAACCCGAACACCAACCTAAAATTGTCGAAGCCATCGAACTGGCAGATGCTGCCCTAAAGCGAGAGGCTGGGGAGGGAATGCCGCTCTTTCCTTGAAGGCTGACCCTCGAGCAACGCACACTAAAGAGCACTCAGGGAAAAGTAGACAGGCCAGCAGTTCCCTCACTGCGGGAAGAGCCCATTCCAATGGTGGCCCCTACGCCTCCGGACCGAACTTGGTTTGCTGGCTGAATTGTTCATAACAACATACCAGTTGGAGTCCTGGAAGCCGATGTCAGGATCAACGGGAAGCCGGTTTGGGCCATCCTTGATTCTCGCAGTGCAGTAAGCCTGATCCACTTGAATATTCTTCCCCCCGATCGGAGTCTTCCGCCTTCCTCCTTATAACCCGATGTCCATGGGGATACCCGACAAGTACCAGCTCACACTGTGAACATCTCAGCAGGCCACGGAACCTGGCCGGTGGAGGTAGGAGTGATGAAGTATCTGCTGGTTACCATTCTGCATGGGAGAGACTGGCCCGGGTTTGACCACCTGTTGGCCGCCTTGATGCTGCCTACCAGCCGTAGAAGGAGCAACCAAAGACCGAGGGTGACAGTGGAAGAGAAGGTGAGTTCCCCTCCCAAAATCGTAACCTTTTTTTATGATGTGTTCCAACAGGTAACGTGAGGGGGCTCATTCACCAAGGAACAACATAGGGATGACAGGCTGAAACACTGTTGGACCCAAGTCTGTGTCATCGAGGGCAAAGCAGCCTGGCCCCCATCCTTTCCCACACTTCATTTTCCAGAATGGCCTGCTCTATTGTGTTGCTCAGCAAAGGGGAGAAGAGAAAGTGTTATTGGTCGTGCCAAGCACAAGGACGGAGACCGTCCTAGAACGTCCACTGGCCACGTTCCAGAGAATGATGGACATCTTACTACAATCCCACTAGCCCTACGCCACCGCCTACATTGATGACATTGTGGTTTACTCCGAGACCTGGGAAGACCACCTGGACCGTCTGTGGAGGGTGCTGTCATAGCTCCGGAAGGCTGGGCTCACCGCTAACACCGCTAAGGCTGGGCTCACCGCTAAAGTACCTGGGTTTCCAGGTCGGTAGGGGTCTCATCTGTCCGCAAGAGAAAAAGGTAGAGGTGATCCACTCAGCCCCAAAACCCAAGACAAAGACCCAGGTACGAGCGTTCTTGGGGTTGGCGGGGTATTATCGCTGCTTGCGGGGCGATCAGCGTCACCCTGGAAACAGACGAGGAACATCTGCATGAACTTTGTCAAATGGACAGTGATCTCTGCACGAGACAGAACGTTAATGCCTGTTCTCTATCTTTCTCCAGAAAACAGCAGTTGACCGCTTAGCCTCCAAGCACAGCTCAGCCTCCAAAAAGCAGCACAGCTCAGTGCACTACAAGGAAGAAGCAACTCACTTCACCGTGTTTTTCTTAGTTTTTTTCTTCACGTTGTACGTAAATGAATCCACTCTTGGGCACTTTGCATGAGCTCCCCTTGTCGTGTGATTCTTCACCCCATGACAATATTCTTAAATTTACTGTATTAAAGACAAAAGTCCCAGACATCAATCTAGAGTCTTTAATAGCCCTCATGTTGAGGTCTAATCTTTCCTCCTGTAAAAATTTGTTTATTCGAATTGATGACCCTTCTTGAAAGGATTAAATATGCAGTCCCTAATCCTAAAATACACAAACAGACTGTAATCTCATCTCTAAAACAATCTCTCAAATAAAATGAAAAGATCAGCAGTAATAATTCCTGTACTCATTCGTAGTGATCTGTTAAATGGCCGCTGTGGCATGTGATAATGGCCACTGATTAGGGACCACCTGGAGTGCTACTCAATTTAACATGAAACTGCCCCTCTCATTGAATGATCAAATTCATTCAAGAGCAGCACAGCTCCATAATTGATGTGTGCTGCATGCAAGACTCGTCCTTCATCAGAGACCAAGTTTTCTGCTCAAATGAACTCATGAACACAGGGATTTAAAGCAACAGTTAAATCATTAAATGATCGAGTGTCAGCTGAGGGCATAAATGTAATATTTCTAAATGGATTCACACCATTCCCTAAAAAATAATCTGGTGGCAAACATCCCTTTAGACACTGTCAAGCATTTAAAATGTCCTCAGATACTGGCACCAAGCAGTCATTGGCAGAGAGCCAGTACACTTGAATGTTCTTTTGATGAATTGTATGGAGCCTGTATAACAAGTCTGCAAGAGTAATTGAAGCGGTCTATAAAGCAAACAGAACATAAGTGTACTATTTCCCCCATCTTCTCTAAAAATGCACTACCATTTAATAGTTTAGGATCTAAACAATAATGTTTTTGAAAGAAGATTCTTATATTCACCAAGGCTGCATTTATTTGACCAAAAATACCACAAAAGATAATATTGTAAAATATTAAAAATATCTTTTTTTTTTACTCTTAAATTACCCCAAACTTATAAATTAACTTATAATTCCTCCAAAAAAAATAGTATTGTTTGCAAATTTAAAATTTAATTTTTAAGAAATTTAGGCAAAATATGAGATAAAATAATACTATTAGAAAGAAAGAAATATTCAGGGAACCTTTCAACACATAGTTCCTGCTAAAAATACTGGCTATAATAGCTCTGGTCCCTTTTTGAGTCCCAGCAAAGACACAAGGCTCTTACCTGGCAGTTTCCTTCCACTCCATCTCCTGGCCATCAACAGACAGTAGCTCGTCCAGCTCTGTGAAGAGCTGAGGAGATGCTGGACTGTCATCGTCCTCTCCCAGCATGAATCGGATGCGCTCTGCAGCAGGTGAAACTGCAACAGGAAAAATACTTCGGGTCAGAGGCACAGGTACAGTCCGACATATTTCCAGCTTGCCATCACTTATGCCATTAGGCCAGATATCCAGTTTTTCTCCAGAGGGAGTTGGCTCAGGTGGCGGAGGAATCTTGACCGCAGACAGGTCTGAATCTGGGTCCATATCCTTATTGGACTCAGATTCCATCTTCACCTTCTCTCCAGCCTCACTCTTCTCCACATTATTGTTCTCAGACATGTTCTCTAGGTTATTATCTGATGCATCCATCCTAAAACCCTCTTTAAAAACAGAACACGATCAAAGCTGGTGAGGATGGCTGAGAGAAGGAGGGAGGTCAAAGACACGAGACCCCACGCAGACAAGCAGCACTCAGACCATCATTAGATATCCTCCGTGTTGTCTGCTATCCTGTACACCCCACTCTAACACAGTGACACCTATGTAGTTAAAAGGGGGTCCCACTTGTCACCCCAGAGCAACAGCCCGCCCATCGGCTGCTCCGGCTGTACCCCCTCGCCATTGGCCCTCCGACTTTGGCACCTTGCCCTGATCCCCTCATTAACAATTAGGAAATGTTTCACAAACTGTTCATTCTTCACAAGAGGGCCTCACTTTCCTTCTCTCTTGTTTTCTAATTTGAATATTTATTAGTTCTTGTGGAAAAGAGTAAACAGTCCCTAGTGAAAAAGAATATTTACCAAAATGTACCAATATTTACCAAAATGTGTTTAAAATATGTTTGTTTTATACAAAGTATACTACAAATGCATTGACATATTTACTGACAGACTTACTGATATAAATATTATAATTAAAATTGATTTGGAGTACTTCTGTATTGCACAATGCACATTTCTTAATATTAAGAGTAAAATGTGTTTAAATATCACTCTTAGTAAGGATAGAATGATCTCTGTATAAGATCTTTAAATGCAAGCAATTTAAAGCGTACCTAAAGTATACTTGATTTCACTAAATTTATTTTTTTGGGTGACCTGACCATTTAAGTACTAAAGTAGTTGTTCAAATTTAGCATGTTTAAAGTATATCAGTTTAGTATACAACAGTACAATTGCAGGTTATTTTTTTAGGTGTATAAATATGTAAATGTATTTGAGTATACTTAGCATATATAATTTTTTTTTATATAAATGTTGATTCATCCTTGATAATACACACTACTTATATATTTTTAAGAAAAATATTTATTTATTTTAAAATATTTATTTATAGATTTATTTATACAAAATGCACAGATGTTACCCCATGAAGTGCATCCTAACAAACACTAAAAATAAGAAAATAAACCAAGCGGATATAACTCATCCGTTTAAATTATATTAAGCCTTAAAGTTCAGCATAATAAAGGGTGTGACAGGTGGATTGCCGCTGCTGTCACTACTAGCCGTTTGTCTGCTGTCTGTTAAGCGTCAAGTCACCTCAGCTAATCCCGCCACTTTGCCCATTTTCAATTATCCAGGAGTGACGCGCTGCTAAGATTGCGACGAACAGCTCCGCCTACTTTGGGCTTCAAAAATGCTCTTCAGAAACCTGCAGGTGACATGAGTCCAATGTTTTATATGGTCTATGGAATAAACACTGTTTTTTAAATAGTTTGCATTATCAAACTAAACAGAACTGGACATTTTTTAATTTTTCAGAGATATGTGTAAGGTGAACGGTCATGGTGACTATTCTTCAATTCCTTTCCCTATTATTCAATATATGCTCAGGAAAAATTGGTATAAGTGACGTATGTAGCACTAGCTCAGTGTGAACAACCTGTCATAGGCATTTCGTTTACTGTAATAAAAAGAGATTCAATGTACATTGCTCATGTTATTGGCTCGAGTTGACCTCTTCAATCAATGTTGATAACATCAAAATAAACATCATGGATACAATGCTGTTTGAGTAAATGAGTAATCTGCAGTCTTGGGAAAGTTCACTTTCTACATGAACTAGTTCAAAGTTCAGTTCACAAATTTTAAACTGAACTAGTTCAGTTCATAGTTCATACATCACAATTTTGAGCTAAGTTCACAGTTCCTAGTTCATAGTAACATATTTTTTAATTATTGCCACAGCCCATATACAATTATTATTATTATTAAAACCTTGCATTAAAACTGATACGATACAAAGCCTCCTCGATGCTTTGTCAACTACATGCTGCTTTTTGTCTTGATGACGCATGCGGTGACCGTGGTGTGACACTGGTGACTGGTGTTGCCAGATTGGGTGTTTTTTTTTTTTTTTCGCTACATATTAAGGCCTGTTGACGTGGGTTTTAACCAGGTTTTCGCCTGGAAGACTCTATAGAAATATAGGATGTTAAACTGAGAGAGTGTGCCTTCACAGACGCTAGAATGAACACGTTCATAGTAACGTTCATCAGGCAGTAATATAGTACGTTCAGTTCACGTTTGCCCAAAATATGAACGAGTTCAATGAACGCATTCAGGCACAACACTGGTAATCTGAATCAGTCTGATTTGTGACGAAACCTCCAGACTGAATTACTATCCATAAAGTGCTTGTGTTTCTTTGAAAAGGTTATTAAAATACAGTATCTGAGTGGATAGAAGTGCTGGATATAACACTAGCTTTCCAAAGCCAGTATTTCCCTCAACTTTTATTGCTTCTGATAGATGATTTTATTGCTTCTGAGATGTTATCAGCACGTGTAAAAGTGATAACAGAATGAGAAGAAACTTTAAAACAACTCTAGCCACAAAACATCGGTAATTCCAAAATTTATATAATACCATAATCTCTTTGTGACACCTTTGTTCATATTAAACTCTATCATGAGTTTACAAATCAAAACACTGTAACTGAAACTATAAAAATGTGCCACCTAATATACAGAGATTTTGCCTTGTTAGTCTACCATGAGTTCAGTATTTTTTAAAGAAATTAATACTTTTATTCAGCAAGGATGCAATAAGATAAACAAAAGTGTAAGGAAAGACCATAATAGACCATAATAAGTCCATAAAAATATTAAAATTCAATAAAATACATAAAAATAAGCAGCACAACTGTTTTAAACATTGATAATAACAAGACATGTTTCGTGTACCAATTCAGTATATTATAATAATTTCTGAAGGATCGTAAAACACTAAAGACTGGAAATTATGCTGTAAATTCTGCTCTGCCATCACAGGAATAAATTAGATTGTACAATATAATTAAATATAAACAGTTATTTTAAGTTGTAATAATGTTTCTGTATTTTTGATTAAATAAACTTCTTTCAAAATCAATCAATCAATCAAAAAAAAAAAAATCTTACAGAACCTAAAACTGATGGTAAAACTGAATGTATCGAGACATTGTAATACATTATGTTAATTAATTAAAGAAAAAAAATCTCAAAGTGTAAAGTATACATTTATTGATTATTTTCAAGATATGTTCATTTCATTTCATTTCACAGGAAATGACTAGGCAGTACTGTTCAACTCATTTGGGCCACTTCATTGTCCCAACTCTGTTTTTTTTAAAAGTCCACACACAAAGTGACCCTGAGATGCATACAGACAACACTGCTATGGATACCAAGCACTAAGCCTCAGCGGACACTCGCTTCATGCTGTTGTTAAGCAGGGCCGGGACAGAGGGAAAAAGTGAGGGAGGGAGAGAACGAGGCATGGGTGAGTTCAGTATGGGAGAGAGCGCAAAGGACAGATAGAAATGAAAATCGCATCGTTCAAACAAAGTTTCAAAGCTGTGGGCTCTCTCGCCAAGAGCTACGACCCACACAAAGGGGACTTTGTCCATGCACCAGGGGCTTATGGGAAAAGCGAGGGGGAAGTATGCCCAGGGTCCAAAAAGGGACTTAGCTGACCGGCCACTTCATACTGGAGAGTCCCAATCTCACTAGCAAAACTGTGCAACATCCCACATGCGAACAGCAGTATCCCAATCCACATTCCTCTCACTTCAACTGAGAGCAAGTGTTCAATGACATTCTTGTGCCATGCACAGACCAGAATAACAATAATTCTAAATGCTCATGGGTCTGTGAATTGTGGTGTTGAGGCAGTTACAAGCTTCCCACATCTGTCCGTAGTAGAATTAATGGCCTTTGGAGCATTACAAGTCCTGTATACTTGCAGACATGAATTAAACCACAGGCTTGGCAGCTTGTGGACATTTTAAAAGAGAATCATTCAGAATACACAATATTTACATCAAAAGTCCTATGTAAATTTACGGAGCCTAAGTCAGCGCAGTTAGTGAACTCTGATATAGATAAACTAAATATAGAGATAGATATAGAGATGGTGAGATATACAATGGTGAGGCCATTCTTAAAAATATTATAGTTTGTCATAACCCAACCAAACCTGTCAATTTAGTGCCGACCCAATTATTTATTTATTTTTCCTTTTAGTCCGACGACTTGTCGGTTGTAAACATGCATTTTACTCTTTAAACAACTAATACAAAATCCAACAAAATAATATAAATTATATTATAGTAAGTATTGTGAATATAAATTGCGTAGGCTACGTTCTTTATTTTAAATAAAAACCCATGGCGTCATCTATGATGATTATCTTTACACCATTGGTATACGCATGTCACACTATGGCATGTGAGTTCGCTTTGTTTCACTCACTGTCAATGGTTCGCGCTTGGTGATGGCTGCGGCGCGGCTGCTTGTGAAATACAGCTGTATGGGCTACATTTAGGTGCTCGTTATTTGAAATTCCTAATGGTCAAATAGGGAATAGGAGAATAGGGACTCGATGTTAACGCCCTTTTCTCGGAGCGCGTCCAGCTCATTACGGTCACCGAACGTGCGTCACACAGCAACTGCAGGGTCTGACAAATAAACAAGAATAAGTATGAGAAGCCAAACACACCGAAAGTGGGATGAAATGGCGCGGTGTTACAGAGTTCGCGCTGCACTGACAAGTAATCTGCGTGGCTCAATGGACCGAGCCATGCGAGTTGCGACAGACTCGACAGCACAGGGAGG